CTTTGGTATCTCCCGCCTCTTCCTTACATTGATTCTCACTTTGGTATCTACCGCCTCTTCCTTACATTGATTTCCCTTTGGTATCTACCGCCTCTTCCTTACACTGATTCTCACTTTGGTATCTCCCGCCTCTTTCTTACATTGATTCTCACTTTGGTATCTACCGCCTCTTCCTTACATTGATTCTCACTTTGGTATCTCCCGCCTCTTCCTTACATTGATTTCCCTTTGGTATCTCCCGCCTCTTTCTTACATTGATTCTCACTTTGGTATCTACCGCCTCTTCCTTACATTGATTCTAGCTTTGGTATCTACCGCCTCTTCCTTACATTGATTCTCACTTTGGTATCTCCCGCCTCTTTCTTACATTGATTCTCCCTTTGGTGTCTCCCACCTCTTCCTTACATTGATTCTCACTTTGGTATCTCCCGCCTCTTTCTTACATTGATTCTCCCTTTGGTGTCTCCCACCTCTTCCTTTCATTGATTCTCACTTTGGTATCTCCCGCTTCTTTCTTACATTGATTTCCCCTTTGGTATCTCCCGCCTCTTCCTTTCATTGATTCTCACTTTGGTATCTACCGCCTCTTTCTTACATTGATTTCCCTTTGGTATCTCCCGCCTCTTTTTACATTGATTTCCCCTTTGGTATCTACCGCCTCTTCCTTACATTGATTCTCCCTTTGGTATCTACCGCCTCTTCCTTACATTGATTCTCACTTTGGTATCTGCCGCCTCTTCTTTACATTGATTCTCACTTTGGTATCTCCCTCCTAAAAAAAACCAGACAGGATGACAATTTATGTAAAAAAAGTCAATATAAACTAATTAAAAAAAGGCAGGAACGAATAGAGTGAAAAATAAAAAGGCAGGACACAGATTACAACAAAAAAAAAATGCAGGACAAAATGTTTCATCACATAAGATCATCGTATTAGTTCTTAATCATTATGTTAATTACTAAGAGCAACAGGAAGCCATTTTGAATCATTCTCGGTAATATTGACGACCCTTCATCTTAACACGCTCGAAATTCTTACGTATAAAAGGTAATTCTTTGCACCCCTTAACACAAACTTTAATATCGAATTTGGTATCTCGAAAACATCTTAATTGTTCTGTGTTTAAGAGCGAACTAAATCATGTGTGCTTGTCATATGATTCTCTCTTATCAGGCATAATCTTAAGTGTGGTTGAACGCCTTACATGAGGTTATTTTTGCGACCGCTCAAATCCTTTTGATGATGTTTTGACGAATGAGTAAATTAGTATACACCTGTTGACTGATTCCTTACCTCATAACCAGTCATTCAGGGTTTTTATACCGAACAAGAAAACTTTCAAAGATATCTATATGATTACACCACCTGGCAAAACAAAAAATAGTGCATGCACATGATGTATGAGAAGGCATATTTTTTTCTTTGTTTTTTGTGTGTAAATATTTGATTCATTGCAAGCAAAAACTTTGTATTTGAATGTCCTAGCACAATTCACATGTATGAGGACGACGAACGAGTGAAGTGTGTTGTTAATTGCGTCAATGCTAGCGCTACGCCAAAGCAAGTGAGTTGTTGGGTCAATACTTCACGGAAACGAAATAAAAGCAAGTGACCGTCACATGTTTAGCAATAAGCGCTTTTGCACTTATACGCACGCTTCATGCAAAATGGAATGGTCGTTTGCTTTCATGTCGAAAAAATTAGCAAAAAGTAGCATTCAATTCTATAATAATAACAAGGACTATCAATTGAACAGGGAACGTATATGTGAAGAAAATCATTGCAAAGATCTTTATGGATGTTTCCTTCTGAAATCTTAATGGATGTTTCCTTCTGAAATCTTAATGGATGTTTCCTTCTGAAATCTTTATGGATGTTTCCTTCTGAAATCTTAATGGATGTTTCCTTCTGAAATCTTTATGGATGTTTCCTTCTGAAATCTTACTGAAATCTTTATGGATGTTTTCTTCTGAAATCTTTATGGATGTTTCCTTCTGAAATCTTAATGGATGTTTCCTTCTCAAATCTTTATGGATGTTTCCTTCTGAAATCTTAATGGATGTTTTCTTTTTTATTCTGGGAAGTTGGTTGCAGATATTTGATATTCTCTGAAAAATTCAAAACTATCTTTATAGTCGAGACTGTCTGAGCTAGACATGTTACATAGATTTCTGTCTATTGTTGAAGACCATTTACCATTTAGATTTTTTTTAAATTTTTTGTGGTGTTGTCGGTTGCTGTCTGTTTGACACCTACTTTTATTCATAATTAGTATACTTACAACCTCAGTGTTGAAAGGCGAATGATACAGTTGTTGAACTACTTTGACCTTTTTAAAAAAGATTGCTTATTACATTAAAAATGGATCAATAATTTAGAAAGTCTACAGAGACTTTCGGCAAATTTTCTCTCCCCCCCCACTCCCCCCCAAAAAAAACAAACAAAAAGGCGTGATATGGATATTAAATTTGGCTTTATATGAATTTGACTATTTTTCATGTCCTTTTTTCTTCATATAGCTCTTCAACTGTTTCGGTTCTTATACATCCCTGGCTTTCAAATATTCGGTTTTGAGCGTTCCAAATGAAAGTAAATTCAGTAAAGCGCTTCGGACGCATGAAATTTATAACGTGTTGTTTTCATTTTGTTTTATGATAAATTTACATCTCAGATAAAATTAGTACATTTGTATGTAAAGATGTGATCAATATGGGTCTGTATATAATTGAGATGTTACTAACTTTACTGATCTGTAACTTCCTGACAAGAAATTATCGCTTCCTTTAGGATTTTGGTTTTATTTAGCTATGCATACATTAATAAGATATTCAAAATCTTGCATTCGAAGCTGATTAAGAAAAAAAGGTATCATATAACAGCCAATCCAGCCCAATAAAATACTTATCGAAAGGTTTGAAGTACGCGTTTAACGGTTGTTTTCATTGTATGAAAAAAAAAAGGAGATGTTCGGTACATATGTAAATGAGACAGCTAGCAACCCAACCATAATAAAAACCTTTAGATCAATATTCTGCCAGTATTAAACAATAGTCACGAAATTTGATTTGTTAGTCGATATATATAATAAGGGATATTCGGCTTCTTGTCCCAGCACATTTACATGCAGGTACAGTTCTTCAACAATAGTCCCGAGATTTGATGTGTTTTTACATGCAGGTACAGTTCTTCAAAAATAGTCCCGAGATTTGATGTGTTTTTACATGCAGGTACAGTTCTTCAACAATAGTCCCGAGATTTGATGTGTTTTTACATGCAGGTACAGTTCTTCAACAATAGTCCCGAGATTTGATGTATTTTTACATGTACAGGTACAGTTCTTCAACAATAGTCCCAAGATTTGATGTGTTTTTACATGCAGGTACAGTTCTTCAACAATAGTCCCGAGATTTTATGTGTTTTTACATGCAGGTACAGTTCTTCAACAATAGTCCCGAGATTTTTATGTGTTTTTAAATGTACAGGTACAGTTCTTCAACAGAAGTCCAGAGATTTGATGTGTTTGTACATGCAGGTACAGTTCTTCAACAATAGACCCGAGATTTGATGTGTTTTTACATGCAGGTACAGTTCTTCAACAATAGTCCCGAGATTTGATGTGTTTTTACATGCAGGTAAAGTTCTTCAACAATAGTCCCGAGATTTGATGTGTTTTTACATGTACAGGTACAGCGATTTTATCAGAACAAAGAAAAAGGTATGATAAGTTTTGCCGCTTTAATTCGAAAATGAAAAAAATATTATAAATCTACAAAACAATATTCTTCCGATATTCATAAGACATTAGTATTCATAAGACATAAGTTTGTCGGACATCAGTATTTATAAGATATGTTGGCATCAACACACAAGGGCTACTGAGAAATATTGGCATGGTTTACAACAAACATGAGCATCAACGCACAAGGGCTACTGAGAAAAGTTGACTTGGTTTACAATAAACATGCGCATCAACAAACAATGGCTCCTGAGAAATGTTGCATTGGTTATAAAAAATACGAGCACCAACATACAAGTGCTACTGAGAAATGTTGCCTTGGTTTACAATAAACATGAGCATCAACACACAAGGGCTACAGAGAAAAGTTGACTTGGTTTACAATAAACATGCGCAATAACACATAAGGGCTACTGAGAAAAGTTGACATGGTTTACAATAAACACAAGCATCGACATACAAGGGTTACTGAAAAATGTTGCCATGATTTACAATAAACACGAGTATCAACATACAAGGGCTACAGAGAAAAGTTGCCATGATTTACAATAAACACGAGTATCAACATACAAGGGCTACAGAGAAAAGTTGCCATGATTTACAATAAACACGAGTATCAACATACAAGGGCTACAGAGAAAAGTTGCCATGATTTACAATAAACACGAGTATCAACATACAAGGGCTACAGAGAAAAGTTGCCATGATTTGCAATAAACATGCGCATCAACATACAAGGACTACTGAGAAATGTTACCGTGGTTATGATAAACACGAGCATGTTTACCTTTTTACATTTGACCTATTATTACTGCGATGTCAATTTAGGTTTTTTTTTTAGGTAAAACTTTTAAAGGCTAAAATTGACATATAAGATTCATTTTCATCATGTGAGTGACAACTTTTTTACTAATTTAAACGAGTTAAAAGACTCAATTATACATTTTTACATAATTTTACAGTTTAATCTTAATCTGAAACTGTTTCGAATAATACGTTTGTTACTTTTAAAAACGTAATAACTATTTCTCATTCGGCTATCATGTCGATGTCGCCATTTGGATATTGTATTTGGAACTATAAAACGAATCAAGGAATAATGACAAATATCAAAATAAAGTACTCTTATTTCTTTGAGCACGAAATAACCGCTTCTTTTCCGTACATATGATATTCTAACATATATTTTGACAGTATGATTTATCTTTGACAGACATGGGTTACTTCCAGGACACAGATGTAACGAGTACGACCACTTCAGATTAAGGCTTTTCCTATTGGATGTTCTACAGTGGTCCTCGAGCTATCAGCGTATACTTTAACTAGAATTATTAATCACTTCCAGACTAGGAGCTCTTGGTAACCACAAGGTAGGATGTCTTACTTCTGTTCGTATATTCTGTTTTCCTCTTCGATTTCCATCCATATACCACGTACATTCAGTTAACAGTAGCAGGCGTCTGTTGTGAACCTTAATATTTAATTTTGAAAACTTCCAAGGTTTTGCACCGTGTTGTTCCTTTCTAATTCAGAAAGTGAAAATTTGGTCTAAACATCATCTCTTTTGTTGCATATCTTCTCTCGATAGTAACTTGCAGGTTAGGTTACGTTAAAGATTACGTTTTGAAATTATAGCTTTATAGTCAGCCATAATAGATTTGATTAATAAATTTATAAATAATTTACTTATAAAACGACAGATAATTGATGTTTTATAACTGGATCGATCTTGAAAAACTGTCGAGCGTAACGAGGCTGATAAATTTGTCCAAATGTCTATTTTTTTGGCTACGTTTTTAAATAGAAACAGTGCCTGTATACAATGTGTGTTCATATAAAGGAATGGATGGGAGTCTAAGCCAACCTGAAAAAGTATGAAGATGTCCAGAGGCAAACACTTCTCAACATGAGACCCCTCGTATGTATTTCGGTTATTTCTGTAAACCTCATTTTGGTTGAAAAGTAATCTATAATTCCTGTCATTTATAAAATACATTGACAATACATTTCAGAATGAACGCCTTCGTCTTTGTATTGGCCGTATGTCTGGTCGCAGTTGTCCACTGTAACACTATGTCAGTGGTCAACAGTTTTGGCTCAAGCAACGGAATGAACTTTCCATACACTTTATCATCGGGAACTGGTTCCCCACTTGACGGTTTTGCTCCAAGCTACAGTGGAATATCACCAGCTAGTTCTGACTTCTCCAATGTTGGCATGATGCCTAGTTTCAATATGGGTAGACAAGGAGACTACTTCGGTGGTGGAGGAAGTTTCATGGGTGGAGAAAGTCTCATGGATGGAGGAAGCCTCATTGGTGGAGGAAGTCTCATGGGTGGAGGAGGCCTCATGGGAAGTGGAGGAGGTTTCATGGGTGGAGGAAGTCTCATGGGAGGTGGAGGAAGCCTCATGGGAGATGGAGGAAGCTACATGGGAAATGTATGGAGATAAATTCATTATTAAATAAATCAATTGACAAATCATGTAAGTAGTAAAGTAGAACCTTGTGTGTATAATACTTTAGCACTGTATAAAATGTCGAACGATTACAATGTAGGCAAGTCTTAAGATAAAAAAAATAAAGACGGAGCATTGCGCTATCTTCAAGTAAATTATGAGCACAGAACAAATTGATTATGTACAACTGTTGAATCAATACCGTCAGTGGGTTCACAGTTTCGTATCCGAAAAGACTATTTACCCCTTATTAGAATTTATTGAAAAATTCTCACAATGCCATTGAGCTCACTATTTTGTTTTCATTTTCCGCCTTATTTTTGGGGTTTCCCTAGGCAAATTTTAAACTTAACTATTGCTTTATATGGGGACGGGTGTATCATTTTTCTTTGCTCGTAGTACCTGTAATTTCGTGATATCAATAGATGGTGTAAACTGACGGAGGGGCGGAGAGTAAAGATAACTGGGTTACTAAATATATCAACTGACGGGAGGGGCGGAGAGTAAAGATAACTGGGTTACTTAATATATCAACTGACGGGAGGGGCGGAGAGTAAAGATAACTGGGTTACTTAATATATCAACTGACGGGAGGGGCGGAGAGTAAAGATAACTGGGTTACTTAATATATCAACTGCGTAGAGTTCTGGAAATCACGTCCAATCGGAACAATCGTAAACTCTGCTGACCCCTCATTAGTTGTCGGCCAATCAAACCTGGGAATAGTCAACATAATGTCTCAGATCACACCAAATGTTTAAAAAAAAACTAATTCCCGAGGTTGAGAACGTCCGTCAGTCTTGATTTTAGTGATCTACCACTTATCTTTGGGGAGGGTCTTTTTTATTACAAAAGTACTAGTAAAAAAAAATTAAAAAAAAAACTTTTACTTCTGATTTATCAAAATAAGAACTTGTAATAATATAAATTGCACATTGGTACGAACGACAGTCGAAAATCGATAAAATTCCACCATTCTGTCTAACGGGAAAACATGTTATTTGCTGTAATTTATACAATGAATTATATATAACATAAGTAGCAGTTTGATCCAACTTTCAAAATGTGTGAAATAAATAATTATATTTTTGACTTGCCTATTGTATTATTTTTATGTAATTCTCAAAAACCTGTATTGTTACAATTAACAGAAAATCGGTGCACAATTTAAATAACAATTGGTGCAAAAGCAACTGAGCACCCATTGGTGCACAATTTAAACAGCAACCCAATTTGAAACTTTATGTTTAACAACAAACAATCGACTGTACTTAAATGACTTTTACTACAAAAAATGTTTCAATAGTATCAGAAGTCCATTACTTGGGGCCCTGATAGCATGTACACCTTCTTGTCGTTATTTAGTTAGACCGCTTGAAGGCAACTATCGGTGAAATTTCTTTGCATTTGAATTATTACAGGTATCATGGCGTAAAGTCTCATTGTTTAATTTTTTATAATATTGTTAAAATTTCTTTTATTTTAGGAACTTAGCGAATACAAGACTCAGATAAATTTCAAGAAACAGTTTATGATCCACATTAGCAGAAAAAATATAAATTAAAACAGAAAAAATGGAACTTCTCTTCGGTTAGCTTGGAGTAGAATCCGGCTTTTACCATTGAACACCACTATCAGTTTGTCCAACAGTTTATACGATTATTCAAATAAATCCTTCTAAAAAAAAAAGAATTAAAAGCAAAAATGTTGAGTTGATTATTATAAAAATAAAAAAACATGTCGATCTTTGATTGGAAAAATAAATAAATTTGGGCATAAAATTGTTACGGGCAAAAATCTTGACTATTACGCTTCACTTTTCCCTGGAAATATCTAATATGATTGATTGATTGATTGATTGTTGGTATTTAACGCCAAATATCAGCACTATTGGCTATATCGTGGAGGTCAGCTTTTTATTGGTGGAGTAAGTCGGAGTGCCCGGAGAGAATCACCGACCTTCAGCTTCTGACCATTCTAGTCAATTAAGATTCGAGTCGAACGCAACTGCAGACGTGAGGGGTTCGAACTCACTACCTCAGTGTTGACAGGCTAGTGATACCGAAGATGAACTACTTTAAAAACTATTCGGCCACTGAGGCCCCATATATATAAAGACATCTAATACGTTTCTCCACTGCTAACGAAAAAACTAGCAATGGAACTTGGTAATATTTATGATGCAGTATTATTTTAGATCCTTATTCTACGTTTCGCTCACAATTAAGGATCTGATAAAATTCTGTAAGCGAAATGTGGACTCAGGGTCTGTATCTTAATCAGATTCAGGGGCGTAGGACCTGTGGGGTTACTTGTGATTTCTTTTACCATTTTGTTTTAAATTGGAGTTAAACATTGTGAGTTTGAGGTAAAACTCAGGGAATCTCACCTAGAAATTTAAAGTGCCAGAATGTTCGAAAGTATGTATTCTTCCTCCCATTTTTTGGCTTAAAACTGAATGAAAATAAAAGAGGACACTGTGACTAAGTTATAGACTATTAGACTACAGAAATGTACTTTTTTTTTTTTTTGCTTTTCTTTCTGTTTGAGTGACTGTTTAATGATCCTTGCATGCATTAATGTAGTATAAACAATATGAATGGCTTTGATTGGTGACGGCTGGGACTATAGTCCCAGGTGACGGCTTTACACCGCGAAAATACACTTGAGCTAAGATAAATAAATAGGGAAAAAACAAAAATGAACAAATGAAATAAAGCCAAGTAAAACTACCCTAGTGAGGTCACAAGTCGGCTTGCTGTGGTAAAATCGTGGTGGTAGTGTTGTAACGTTTTCGCATACAAGTGCCGCGTGAGGAAGGTCGTGGTTCAATGCCAATTTTCTACGTTATAAAAAAAAAACCAAAACATAGCTTTAGCAAAAGAAATTGAAACTAATTTAACCATTCATTTTTTTATTTATATTTGTTTGGGATGTCAAGTGGCGGTCTCTATGACGTATATCCCACATATCCTTTAACATGTTTAAGTTAAGTATAAATCCGAGTGGTAGATAGTTTGGGTTGGTTGATTAATCCTGGGACGATTATACTAACAATATATTATGTCCCAGATCGAACAGTCCCTTGCAATATTATGGAACGCCTCAGCTGTCTTATGTGGAACTCTGATATTACTTTATGTTGTTTTATTATTACTTGATGATATTTTGTCTTTACTTAATATGGTTTTGACATTACGTAATGATGTTTTGATATAACTCAATATGGAATAGTCATTACTTAATGATATTTCGATATTACACGATATGGTTTCGTATTGACTTGATATAGTTTTGTCATTACTCAATATGGTTTTGTCATTACTCGATGTGGTTTCACCATTATTTAATGTGGTTGTGTCATTAGTCAATGTGGTTTTAACATTACTTGATGTGAATGTGACTTAACGTTATGTAGTTGTTTCATTACATGATGTGGTTTTGTTATTTCGTAATGATGATTTGCCTATTCTTTATATGGTTTTAACATTACGTAATGATATTTCAAAATTTGACGATTTTACACTACCTGACGTGTTTGTTTCATTATTTGATGTGGTCCTGTCATTCTTTGATGTGGTTATCCCATTACTTGATGAGGTAAAACCACGTGACCAATTCGGAAAAAAATATGTTCTATTTTTAAACAGATTTCAATATATCATTTGTTTAATGTGCTTTGGATTGGTATCGCTATCCATTGAGTTAAAGTTCAAATTAAAGCTCGAGTGGTTGTTCAGTGTTATTTAGCATGAAAAAGGTAACCGGCAGACAATAATAAGAAAAAAAGTATTAAAAAGTTTACAGTATTTCTTACATAATTGGGATATCCCCAAACCACTTTGTCTTGTTGTTTTTATCCTAAGTTTTCAAACGGAAGCAGTATTTTTGTAATAAATTTGTAAAATATTCCACGGAACCCTATGTCTCGCCTGATATTGCTGCTGTAAGTGTAAAAGCGTCATGTTGATCGGCTGTACATTTATCTATACATTTATCGGTAAAAACAAAATTAAAAAAAATGTTTTTCTGTAGATGCTTTTTCTTGAAATTGAAGAATAACTCCTATACTCCTATACAAGTCTTAAAACACTTCATGGAGGTTTACAAATTTATCATGCCAAAACAGTTTAATTCGGTTTTATTTAACTAAAACAAACTGTATGGTTTTCAACAATAAGCAAAACCCATACCCTATAGTAAGCTATAAAAGGTCCTGAAATAAAAAATGTAAAAAACTAGAAACCTAACGATCTATAGATAGATAGATAGATAGATAGATGGATAGATACTTTATTCTCTAAAAACTAATTACAAGTTTACAGAGAAACATACAATATAAATACAGATACAATAGTTGAGGTAAACAAATACAGTATGATATTCTGAAAGTACAAAACTATAATGGCATACGTGTTTAGTAACATGTATAATGAAAGGTTAAACTCAATAGAAATAAAAAAAGAATTGAGATGGAGACGCCGACGACACTATCGACGACGAAATATAGGTTTGTTGGGTCTCACTGCCGCTACATTGATGTCGCAGGCTCGACACAAATCAAACGACTTGAACTTTAATGTTAACAAATGAAGCGCTTCAAATCAACTCACACTAAAGTTACAGGGAAACGGGGGGAGGGGCTCGGACTTAGCGACAAAGCATCAATACTATAAAATAAGAATTCTCCGAATTTTTTTTAGCGTAACTGATCATTTGAACTTATACAAATATCAATCTTTTATTTGTTATCAATTGAATTCCCTGATCTACCTCGCACTAATTGAAAAATAAACTTTTTGGAATATCTGTTTCACATGTGACGACGGACATGTTCCAGTGGTCGTAACCATAATACCGTCATCTTTTTCTTGAATGTGAACTACCAAATAAAACCAAATCACTGGGTTTGTACTTTCTCGAATAACACGGCGGGTGCCTTTCTGGAGCATCCGAGATCATCCCGATGGATTTATATTACCCAGTCATACCGATCTATTGAGTCAGCCAAATTAAACTGTTTTGTATGCCACCGCAACTGAAAGTTGGGGGAGGGGGGATATTGTTTTACCCCTGTCCGTCCGTCCGTTCGTCTGTCCGTCCCATTATGGGTATATAGTTATTCCGCATAACTCCTCCTACAGTTTGAATCCTAGGAAGTTTTCTCTTTACTGTCTGTTTGTACATATATTGAAGGTGTGCATGTGGTCAGGGTTTAATGTTTATTAATATTTGCTCTTTTTGGAGATAGTTGAACTTTGTAATTTTTTGGGAAATTTACTTGCATAAGAAGAGCGTTTCCAGATAACTCCTCCTACAGTTTGAATGCTAGGAAGTTTTTGCTCTGCTGGCTGTTTGTAAATATATTGAAGGTGTGCATGTGGTCAGGGTTTTTATTTTTATTATCTTTTGCTCTTTTGGGAAATAGTTGAACTTTTTTTTTGTCATTTTTGGGGTATAAGCGGTTAAATGAGATGAGTGACGGGCATCACTTTGTCTAGTTTACATTTTTTTCTCGTGTTGTGCTGTTACACAAGTGTAACAGTCCGATGTAAGGTTAGGATTTAGCGCTCACATACATGTTAAACTCCGCCACGTGCACTTTCTTTATGTACCCGCCCCAAGTCAGGAGCACGAAGTTCAATTGTTGTCGTTGTATAAATGTGTGTCATTGTTTTTTGTAGATTGTTTAAATATAAATAAGACCGTTTGTTTTTTCGTTTGAATTTTTTCACATGGTGCATGGTGGCCTTTTATAGCTGACTATATGGTGTGTTGAAGGCTGTACGGTTGCCTATATATGATTTCTTACATCCACTGCATCTGTGGATAGTTGTCTCATTGTCAATCACACCACATCGAACTTTATTTCAACTTCTATGTTGCGTTTTGTATACTGTAACATTGTTTATCTTTTGTACGCATACCCCGGAGCCCTCTTTTCGGAATCCCGAGCAAAAGTCCTTGTTCCGCGATTGAAAATTTAATTACGAACTCATATAAGATAGCACGAATTTCAACTCAAAATCTTAATTAATCTAAATGAGACTTAAATTCGAATCTTACTCAAACTCAAAAAGTGAATCAAATGTAATGGTGTAACTAGAACTCTACCTTTAAATGATGTGACTCAAACTTGAAGTCCAACTCGAAACTCAATGCTAACTAAAACTTTAATTCTAATAATGACTTAAATTCGGAATCGTAGACTAACTCAAAGTTCTACTCAAACAGTAACCCTAACTTTAATTTGAACTCTAATTCGATGGATGGCCGCACTCATCCAAGGCACATACAACATGGAAATCTATCTAAAAATAGAACAGGTTTTTCCGAATTGGTCACGTGATTTTACCTCATCAAGTAATGGATAACCACATCAAAGAATTACAGGACCACATCAAATAATGAAACAAACACATCATGTAGTGTAAAATCGTCAAATTTTGAAACATCATTACGTAATGGTAAAACCATATAAAGAATAGGCAAATCATCATTACAAAATCACATCATGTAATGAAACAACTACATAACGTTAAGTCACATTCACATCAAGTAATGTTAAAACCACATTAAATAATGGTGAAACCACATCGAGAAATGACCAAACCATATTGAGTAATGACAAAACTATATCAAGTCAATACGAAACCATATCGTGTAATATCGAAATATCATTAAGTAATGACTATTCCATATTGAGTTATATCAAAATATCATTACGTAATGTCAAAACCATATTAAGTAAAGACAAAATATCATCAAGTAATAATAAAACAGCATAAAGTAATGTCAGAGTTCCACATAAGACAGCTGAGGCGTTCCATACAATATACTTTCATAAATTGTTTCAATCACTCTCCAGATTTTATCTCTACGCATTCCGTGTCAGCTGCTATTTGAAATTAATTTCGAACTGACCATGATCAACTTATTTAGTGTATCTTTAAAGCTGTGATTTTGTATATCTATTTCCCTTAGAAGTCATGGAATATTTCCCCAAGAATTCATGGCAAAATCAATCCTATATTTGTTTGTGTGGTGTTTTTTTCTGGTGTTTTTTTAACATTGATAATAAAATAGAGAATGGAAATGGGGAATGCGTCAAAGAAACAACAACCCGACCAAAGAGCAGAAAACAGCCCAAGGCCACCAATGGGTCTTCAACAAAGCGAGAAAATCCCGTACCCGAAGGCAGGCTTCAGCTGGCCCCTGAACAATAATGCATACAAGTTTAGAGAAATGGACGTCACACTAAACTCCGAAACATATAAATGTACCAAAATTAAAAAAAAACAACATACAAGACTAACTAAGGCCAGAGGTTCCTGACTATGGAAGGGCGGGATTAAACATGTTTTGTGAGATCTCAACCCTCCCCCATTTTATTGAATGATGTGCTACAACCAGTGTCAAATATATCAGACATATGAGGACGACTGCATATTGATGTTAAATGAATTCATATTCCAACATATAAATGTGCCTATCCTAAGCGAAGAATTCCCTAGTAGTTGTCTTAAGAATCATTTTAAAGTGTTTTGTTGTTTGGATTATTTGGTCTTGAATGCAGATCTGTGGTAGTCTGTGTTCAATTAATTCTTAACTTTATTTAATAGACTAGGAATGATATAGAGTTTGCAATATTGTATGAACAGCTGTCTGTTGTTGAAGACTATGGGTTGTGCTCTAGCTGAGAGTAATCTCAGCCTCTAGATATATCTTGGCTACTTTTATCTTTGGGTTGTCCTCTAGCTGAGAGTAATTTCAGCCTCTAGATATATCTTGGCTACTTTTATCTTTGGGTTGTCCTCTAGCTGAGAGTAATTTCAGTCTCTAGATATATCTTGGCTACTTTTATCTTTGGGTTGTCCTCTAGCTGAGAGTAATCTCAGCCTCTAGATATCTCTTGGCTACTTTTATCTTTGGGTTGTCCTCTAGCTGAGAGTAATTTCAGCCTCTAGATATATCTTGGCTACTTTTATCTCTGGGTTGTCCTCTCGCTAAGAGTAATCTCAGCCTCTAGATTTCTCTTACAGTAACAGTTATGTTGCAAGATGATATTTGAAATTAAACATTAAGTCAATTCAACACGATTGATTGATATTCAACAACATTTATATATTATTTTGTAATTATACATGTACAAATTTAAGAACAATGAAAGTACAATTACACACACTAACATGCCTTATGTTGCCCAATAAATAGCATAAAGACAGAATATTGGAAATTCACAAAATATTTCCATGTTTTTATAATAGCAAAAATTGCTTCGCCGAGCGCAGCTGGATACAACCGCATAGGTACAACCCTGAACAGTTGGGGCAAAAATGGACACAATATTCCCGCTTGATACAGGTCTGAATTTGGAATGTAATTAAATATTTGACACATAATAGGTTTCTGACACAGAATAACTGTAGTCAAAGAACTTAGAACTGGTTATATTATGCTTTTGTGCAATACACTATGCTGTTGCGAATTGACCCCCTCCAAAAAAAAAAAATTTTTTTTTACCCCCACCCCCCTCCCTTTTTTTGGCAAAAAAAGATATGTTCATAATCTCAATTCAAATTTCCAATGGAGTTTGCAACCATAATTACCCATTTAAATACATCATAAAAGTCTTAAAATAGAAAATGACATACATAATCATGGCTAAAATTAATATTCCTTCATTCAGCATTTTTAAATAGTAACTTCTAAAAATAAATTGACAGCTAATCACCTCAAGACAATAAACATTTCTTTATACATAATTAAAAAGCAGTGTAAGGGAGGTAATTCAAACATAACATTGTACTTTTTTTTTCCATTTACCAGGAAACCCTTGTTTTCCCCCTTTTTCGCCCCTAATTCCTAAACGGTTTGAGCCATAACCCCCCAAAGCCAACTCTAACCATCCCTTTGTAATATGGAAACTTGTGGTATAATTTCAGAGAGATCCATAAACCGTTCAACAAGTTATTGTCTGGAAACTAGAAAAATGCTTATTTGGGCCCCTTTGTGGCCCCTTATTCCTAAACTGTTAGGACTATAACCCCCAAAATCAATCCCAACCTTCCTTTTGTGGTTATAAACCTTGTGTTTAAATTTCATAGATTTCTATTTACATTTACTAAAGTTATTGTTCGGAAACCAAATGTCTTCGGACGATGCTGACAACGACGCCGACAACGTCGTGATACCAATATACGACTGCAAAGTGTTTTGCGGTCATATAAAAATTAAAAAGGGACAAGTTTTTCAAATATATAAAAAAAAATTGCAGTTGAAATTTTGAAAGCATTATTTTTATATGCAGCATTTCCGAAAATCATAATAAATAATATCTTATTTTTGTTTATTGTCCAACAATCACAAAAATTTCTGTCTCTACAGTATATAAAACAAAGTAATTAAACAAATAGGGATATACGATTTTCAAAATCCTGAATAACTCTTTGTTTTCATTGTGACCGTTAAATTTTTTAGAAAATGATATTACCTGAATGAAAATGAGCTGGTCAGGTGATTACATAATTGCTATAGGATATTTATTTTGGTCGCCTACCAAACCCCACAAGGTCCCGGGACAGAACTGACCAGATTGGAACACTTCCTATACCTACATTGTACATATATCAAATTAACTGTTAATATAAAAATAAGGAGATGTGGTATGATTGCCAATAAGGCAACTATCCACCCAAGTTCAAATGAAGTGGATGTAAGCAATTATAGGCAACTGTATGGCTTTCAACAATGAGAACCACCCATACTGTATAGTCGGCTATAAAAGGCCTGGACATGAAAATTATAAAATAATTCAATTGAGAAAACTAATGGCCTAATTGTAATTAATAACAAAATAATTTACGAAAAACAAATATGACAGACATGAACCAACGACAACCACTGAACAACAGGCTCCTGACTTGTTACATTACCAACAAGAATATATGTCCCTTGACATCATGCATGGTCATTCAATTTGGCCTATATTATAAAAAGTTCACATCATATGAACATGCAAACTATATTCAAAGTTGATGTGACCACATCTTCATCCATGATGGCAATACATCCTAAACCAAAACTTTATCATGATATGGGAAAGCCTAAAGGACAGATGCAGACTGGAAAACCATATGCCAGATGAGTAATAGGGAGAAAACTGGCATAAAGAGGTCTCTAAACACAATAAATCAAATAGAACTTTTGTTAGTTAAAGTAATATCAATTATCAAGGGGGAAAATATAATGAAAGATAAAAAGTAGGTAAATAGATACCAAAACACTTGATTAACATGTACAGTGCCTGGTGATGACTCATAGCCTCACCTGTTTCAGTCCTTCAGAGGCAGAATGATAGATTAGTAGTGACACACTTTTCATAGACAGGGATTAAAAAACATATCTGTTAAAAAAAAAAATAGAAAAGCAAGTCAGAGATCTTACAAATATTTTTGATGTTGAGTGACCATGGTGATTGGACCAAACACTGTTGTCTCAGGTTAGGGGAGGGTTGGCACCTTCAAACATGTTTAACCTGCCACTTCTCCTTATCTGTGCATTCATATATATATATACTCAACATCCTCAACAACAAACAAATTGCAAAAAAAAAATAAACAATGAATTATGATTAATATATATTATTTTCTTTAGATTTAAAAATTTCAAACACATAAACATGATAAAATGATGACCAAATTCAGAAATATTTTGATTTGCAATGAAATTTTACTCTTGAGACTGAAAATGAAGAAAAAAATCTACATGTATCTATATATAAAATTTGTGAGGTTTATACAAAAACTACAGTTAAAACTATGATCTATCACACAATTCTTAAAACCATACACTTAATTACATGTTAACTAATTCCTTTGTCATGTTTGTAACAGGTCATATCAATTAAAATTTTACCAAGAGCTATAACTCAACAAGACAACCATTTTTTTTGGGTGTTAAAACCAATAATGCTCAGAGAAAATTAAACAATTTTAAAAAAGTTAAGACAAAATGATAGACAATACATGAATAGATGTCTTAAAGTTCAATATCAATTTCAACTTCTTATTTTTATACACCTTACATTTTTTTAAAAACACTTTTGACATGCTTGATAATCATGATAATATCAAAACAGAATTGAACACTTGAAAGAAAAACAGGTTAACACATATTTGTTTTATGGTGTAAAATATAAAACATTTCAGTAAAATCATGAAAAAAGACATAACATGTATAATCCTCTTCATAAACACAAAATTCATTGAAGTTATTGCACAGATGTAAAACATTAAATGTTTAAGTTTCGTAATTTCCAACTTTCATAAAAAAGAGGAAAAATATAAAGGACATGAAGAAAATGATCTAAAATCACTTTTCCCTAGAGCTAGAAACATGAAAAATGAAAATATACTTGGAGCATACATATTTTACATATATGGTAAATTGCTTTTTTTTTATTCAGGTCAGCAACAATTATGACAAAATATTCCTCCTTCATATATTTAAGACAAAAATGTGATTGTTTTCTCTGGTTCTGAGGTGCCCTTTTTTGCAGATTTGCTGTCCAAAGTTATATGAAATTAAATATGAAACTAATCTGACAGGGATCACCACAGAAAAATGTTCAAGAATGCAGCTAACAAAATATTTATCTTACGTAATCCATTAAACATATTAAAATATATTATTTTGTTTATATATATATCCTTTTGCAATTCTCTAAAATTCAAAAGTACAAAGACACAACAAACATGAAAGGGTATGCATCTTAATTTTATGACAATAAAAATAAAAAATAAATATCATATAAAAATAAGAAGATGTGGTATGATTGCCAATGAGACAACTCTCCACAAGAGAACAATTGACACAGAAATTAACAACTATAGGTCATGTACATTTTTATATAGACTTGCAAAATCAAGAAAATTACACTGATTAACATGATTAAGAAATATTTCAAAACTTATTCCTATTGCATATGACCTCAAAAATCAAGAGAAGTGCTGTAAATCTAAGAGGGGGCTAAAAATTAAGGGGTAGAGGAGGTGTGATCCCTTAACTTAGCTTATTAAATAAAATTTCTACATGAATGAGAGATTACACAATCTCATTATTATAAAAGGGATTGATTTCAACAGAAAAGGTCTCATTTTGTAAATAATCAAGACTTTCAATAGGTTCAGTTTTAACACAAGGCAAACTGACATCTTTTCCCACAATATCTGCTGAACTATCACTGTATGATTTTAACATTTTTTCACAAGCATTATTTCCACCGAAGGCATTATCTGAAACACTAAGCAAAGACTGATCATTAGGATTATCAGTTCCATTAACAAAATCATCATTTACTTCAATTTTAAAATCTTGTAGACTGTTTTCCCTGTCAACACTTGCTCCTACAGTTTGATATGATCCTGGATACTGTGATTTAGTTAATTCTGTTGAAAGAGCTGTTGATTCAGTTGTCTCTTGCTCTTTCATTACTTGTAGTTGTACATCATCTGCAATTTCTGGTTCCCTTTCTAAGTTCTCTAATTCTTTACTAAGTGTTGAAATTTCATTTCTTGATGTACATGAATCAGGGTTATCCTTTCTTTGTCTAATTTTTGTAGATTTTTCTTTCCTCTTTGCCTTTAAACTTATTTTTAAACTTTTTTTTTTCCTACTTCCTGATCTTCCACCCCCCTTTTTCAAATTAGATGCTTGAAGGGAACTGTTTATAACAGAATTTATAGCCTCTTGAATGTGATTTGTGATTACTGAAGGATCAGTAACTTCTTTCTCTGCAGTGGATGAATTTCGCGCACCATTTTTAATTGAATGATCAGTTGTAATTGATTTTTTATTTTTCTTAATTTTTCCATCTTTTGATGTGTATGCACCCATTTTTGTATGTTTAGAAGCAGTATTTTCAGATGGGAATGTACTTTTGTCTGCATATTCACCTTCAGTCACATCATGTGTTTTCATGTGTGTGACCAAGTACTCCTTCCTTGTATACCCAGCACTACATTTGTCACAATTATACGGCTTTATCCCAAGATGCATTTCCATGTGTTTTTGTAGACGATTCTTAAAATTAAACCTTTTACCGCACATTTCGCAATAGAAAGGCTGATCTTGTTCATGTAATTTCATATGTAGTTTGAGATACCCTTTTTGACTAAACTCCTTCCCACAAACTGTACATTTCACTTCTTTTTCACCTTTGTGTGACCTTGTATGTTGCTTAAGAGAATTATTTGAACGGAACGATTTCTTACAAATTTCACATTGGTAAGGTTTCTCATCTGTGTGTGTTCGTAAGTGTTGAATTAATTCACATTTTGCAACAAAGGTTTTGTCGCAAATTTTACAAAAGAACTGTTTAACACCTTGATGTCTTTTTATATGCGTCTGCAAACTTTCATTTGTTCGATAACATTGGTGACAAATTTCACATTTATATGGCTTTAAATTTGCATGAGTTTTCAAATGACTCTGTAAGTGACCTTTCTGAATGAATGTCCTATCACACAAGTCACATTTATATGGACGTATATTTGTGTGAATTCTAGAATGAATTTCAAGGTCCACTTCACGTCTAAATTTTTTCTGACAAATTTTACACTCAAACTCCTTCACGTCTGTTTCTGTGTGAAGTTTTTCATGTTTTTGTAGCGTCTGCTTTGTCAATAATTCTTTTCCACAATACTGACATTCATAAGGCTTCTTGCCTGTAATTGTATGAGTCAAAAAATGTTCTTGTAGTTTACAGTTTTCTGCAAAACTTTTCCCACATATTTCACATGAATGGGGTCGGATATTCAAATGGATTCTCTCATGTCGTCTAAGATGTGTATTGGTGGAAAATTCTTTTGCACACTCTTCACACCTATATGGTTTTTCACCAGTATGTATTCGACTGTGTCTTTCTAAATATGATTTTCGAGCAAACTCCTGTCCACATATTTCACATCTAAATGCTTTCTCAGTGCTGTGAGTAACCATGTGATTCCTAAGTTGATTTTTTGTTTTGAATGACTTCTTACAAGTTTCACATGTAAAAGCTTTTTCCTCATTATGAATAAGAATGTGTGTTTTGAGACTAGAATTGAAAATAAATCCTTTACCACACGTTGGACATTTGTACTTTTTATCTCCTATGTGTATTTTCATGTGTAAACGAAGTCTACGATGGTCGTTAAATTCTTTATTACACACACTACATGTGCTAAGTTTTTCTCCAGTATGAATTCTGACATGTTCTTTGAGTGTTTCTCGTAGTGTGAATCTCTTTGGACATATTTCACACTGATAAGGACGTTCACCATTATGAATTCTAAGGTGTGCTTTTAAATAACTTTTACTGCTGTAACCTTGGTTACAGACTTCACAAAAGAACGGTTTTCCATCTTTATGTACATTTTGATGACTTAAGAGCTGGACTTTTCGAAGAAACCTCTTACTACAAATTTCACATTTAAATTTTTTAATTCCAGTGTGAGTTAATAGATGACATTTTAAATATTTCTTTACATTAAATGTTTTGTGGCAGATACCACACTGGAATATTTCTACAGTTTTACCGTTTACTGATTTCTTCTGCTGTTTTATCAAGTGTGTTTTCTTAGATTTAAATATATCAACAATGTCTTTCTTTGACTCTGTTGTATTGTCTGTGTTTTTTTCCAAAACAATTTCTCTGTTTTCGCTGTAAGAGCCAAGACTTTGTTTTACAAGGACTAAACTATTTTGTGTTACTGGTACATGTACTTCACCTGCAGACAAATTTTCTTCCATGCTGCGTAAAAGCAACTCACAAACTTCTGTTTATCAGTTAGCTGTAAGATACAGGGATGTCTCTGGTTCTGATTTAAAGCTTCTTAAAAAATTTCCACCAGAATCAATTCAGGTATACATTGTACATAGCCTATAACAGTTTCCACATTATCTTAAATTTGTTGCATTTATCCAGTATTCTCTGTTGTTCAGTCTGAAAATTGCAACAGATTATCAATTAGTTTACAGTTGTTTAAAAGTTAACAACAGTCATGACAGTATACCATAATTCAACATTAAAATGTAAAATAAAAAAACTCTGATCTAAATCTCTTTTAGCTTACCAATTAATTCTTAGTTAAATGTAAATTAATTTTACCTTAGCATGAGAGTTTTGAGAATAGAATAAATAATACGTCCCGTAAACGGGCGTATAAAAATAAAGCCTTGGTCACATGTGGGACATTTAAATCTTCTGATCTTATTATAAAAACAAGAGTCTGAGACACAAAATACTTATAGATTACCGATGGTTTTTCAAACGATCGGGTGTTTCTTAGCTACAATGTGTCCCAGAAACATACTCAAGTTTGAAAGACATTGCTAATCTGTTTATCGCTTTTTGCTTATAACGTTGTTGATGTTGGATAGGGACAGAAATTTTGGCCTGGCAACTGACCTCCCAGAGAGTTGTTGCAAGGATCTTCAAAGCTGCATAATTATATATCCTACTTTCTGCATAGCCCAACTTTCATAACTTTAGCAAGGGTACATCAATTAAGTCCTGGGATGACAAAATGTCTATACTCCAGTCAACTCTGTAATAAAATAATTATAATAATAACATCATGATACTTTTATATGTTAGATTTACACAGTTCTAATCTAAAACAACAGTCCAGATTGTTGTACAACATAATATCAGCATTTAAATGACTTTAAATCTTCTCCCTACAACATCTTTATAATCATGACAATCCGTCATACTTGTCCTAGGCTATATCATGTATATAGGCACTACACAGTGGCACTGCAAATCAGATTTTAATCTCCTACTTCAAAAGACAGATTTTTATTATGAAACTTTTGTTTTATGCAATTAATATGTTTCTTTTTAGTGCAGGAATTTATACAGTAAAGAATGCTTTTGTTGTCGTTAATCATATTCATAGTTATTTTAGATCGATCATCAAACATCATTATAAACACTGAGGAGCTAAAATAAAGTGTTCTAATAAGTCCATGTCAACAATGAAATATATTTTGTTCATAAAAAAAATCATTACAGTTAACATGGTTAAAAAATCAATATACTTGTGAATCCTAAATTGTTAACTTTGTATTTCTTTCTCTTTCACATCTGCATATTTCTTTCCAGTTTTTTTCTTCTTGGGGCAGCTGACTTGTTGATCATTACGGAAGCCCATTTAGGACCTCCTAAAAATATATATTTGATTTTGAGACCAGGAATTTAAATCGTTATCACAAATTATAACAGTTTTTGTAATTTGTAATTACAAATTAAATTTGTTAACACAATTTTTTGGAATTCGTGATAACGGATTAAAATTGTAACAACGAAATGTATAAATCATTATAATAGATTAAATTTGTTATCACGAATTCGTAGAAATATTTTTTTTTTAATTCATGATAACGGATCCATTAAAATTAATATACATATATTGTAATAATGAATTATACATCGTTAATGCATAATCACAAATTTAATCCGTCATTACAAATTATACAATTTATAATAAGGATTTTAAACCCTTATCACGAATTACAAAAATCTGTGATAACGAACTTAATCTGTAATCACAAATTAGAAAAAAAACTTTGATAACAAACTATACATATTCGCAATAATGAATTAAACAAATCGACATCACATTCCTAATCCCTTATCACAAATTATAAAAAAATGTGATAACGAATATAATCCGTTATTACGAATTACAAAAAGATTATAACGAATTACAAAAACTGTTATAACTAATTCCATATATTTGTGATAACGTATTTAATCTGTGATAATGAACATGATGAATTCTACAATTCCTTATAACGATTTTAATTCTTGATATCGAATTCAAATTATATTTTTGGGAGGTCCTTATTAATGGGCTTCCATAGATAACAGAATGCTGCCTACATGTAAATTAAATGGTGGTAACCATGGTAACAATAGGCCCCTTCATGGTTAGTTCGGCCATATTGGATAGGGGGCAGATTTTCATAATGGAGGTAAAAATGGTGTGAAAAATACGGGAAAACATCTTTAAAACAGAGGAGTTGCTTGGAAACATGCATAGGATTTCCCATACTTTCATACTACATGTACTATTTCCACCTCTTTCAAAAAAATCTGCCCCCTATCCAATATGGCCGAACTAACCGTGAAGGGTCCTATTACAATTTCATATGTATGTAAATTGTGAAATAGAATCAATTTATTTTAAAATACAGAAAAAAATGGATTGTACAATGTTGAACAAAAATGACACTACTTATTATACAGATGCCCTTCTCTTTCACAGGTAACACCTGCCTCATACAGATTGGGGAAGATCCTCATAAATGGTACTATCCCCATTTATGGGTATTATACCCAAAATCGGGTATCAATCTACAGTGATAAAAAATTGAATTTTACATTTCATAATTTCATCATAATGGATGTCAAAGCGCAAACATTCATATATAAAGGGCAACATTTTTTCCTTGAAGACCATAGTTCAAATGAGAACTAAATACATAGATAATGGGCTCCAAAAATCTGACTTTTTGAAGGCTTTAAAAATTTACCAACATGACCAAGATGATATTTAAAGTTATGGTCTTTTGGGGCCAAAATTTCGTTATTTACAAAATGTACCTGAATGTTTGGGCCATGACAGCAAATATCTTGAAATCCAAATTTAATAACTTTTATCAGTATCACTGAAAATTGATGCCTGTTTTGGTGTATAATCATGATAATACCCATAAATAATCTTCCCCAATCGGTCATATCCATGACACTAGTATGGATGACCATGCCTCTTTCGCTTCAAGCTGGAGCACTAAGTCAAATTCTCAATATTAAATAAGAAAACAAGCCAAGTGTCTGTATTGTGTTCAATCTATAGGGATTTATAGTGTTCAGACAAGATAAACTCTGAAAGTAAAAAATCGTCAGAAATTTTAATCAGCCTTTGAGGCTTTCAAAGATGAACGCTATCAAGTGTAAATGAGATATATATATGACCATAAAGTAATGTTAATCATTAAATCACCAATATTGTGAAAACATAGCTGGACTGTCAATACAAAGAAATATTGTTTGCAAAATTAGCAACCGGAAATCAATACTGAATGAAAATAGACGAAACTAATTACGGACAGGCACCACCGGAATATTGAGGCCTGTTATTTTAAAACTAAAAAAGAACATAATATTAATTATTTGTTATATACATTCAAGGATTTAGTCACTATACAAATCCTTGATAAATTGAAATAAATTTATTAATATTCAATTGTTGCCGCATGTTCATCCGTGGCATTCATTATTAATTTCTATTTAAAGTTAAAAGTTTATAATTTTCATTACCTTCATTTTGCCTGGGACTATTAAACAATATGATCATAAATGTCTACCCATTGTTATTTTACCCCATTGATATATTTGATATTCCAAAAAAGTTACCCATACCAGCGGCACGTCTGTATATACCTTTATATATTTATAAAAAGAGACCCTCTCCCCATGGGCGCAGGACATTTTAGCGAAAATTTTAATCTACTAAGGGACATTTAAGCGTAGATATTATAGCTCATTTCAGCACAGGATTAATCCGTTGAACTGTATTTTATAGAGAGACTATTTTAGTGAAAACTTACCTGGTTGAATGAAATTCTGCCCCTCGGACCACCAAACTAAAACCGTCAACAATAATTTATGCTGGGTTAATGCTTAAGTTGTTTGCATTTACGATTTACAATTTGGTTAGTTATGGAATAAATATTGCTGAAACAGACAGAGGAAAAAAAGTCGGATATCGTGAGGGCTAACGTTAACTTACGTCACCCGGCCATTTTCGGTTTCTGGAAAATTTCAAATTACAAACAACATATAGAGAGGGGCGCACATATTCGCCGGGGACACAATTTCGCCGTTTTATGATTTTGAGGTGTAGAAACTTCAAAGAATTGCTGAAATGGAAGAAATATGCCGGTAAATTATATTTTTATAACAAATATGATTATTTTTTAAACTTAGAAAAAAATTCGGCACTTACCGCAAAGAACCGAAAAATTGACAACAATTTTCGGCCAATTTCCTGAATGAAAAAAAAGATTTCAAAGAAGTATTTCTTAGTAATTCTTTGACTGATTGCCCTAAATTTCAGTTCTTTTCACCTTTGAAATGTCTGCTATTCATCTATAATAAAATTGATTTGATAAATATTGTGTAAAGCTGCAGTTATTTCATTTTAAATAGATGTGTAAAAACGGCGAATATGTGTCCCCCTATGACAAAACATCAGGAGATTTCAAAAAGCCTTTAATCTAACTTTTCAGATGAATTTTTTCAGAGAAACATGTTTTCAAGCTAAGAATATTTTGCTTTTGATGTTATCTTCATACAGAAATATCAGTATACTTCAAAAACTTAAAGGTCTGAACATAAACTGCAGAAAACATGGAAAATTATGGCGAAAATGAGCACCCCACTCTATATTAAGAAGTATCGATGAATCTGCTCTTCAGTCTATTCAAGACGAAGAAAAGGAACAATTCCTATTGCAATTTTATGAACAACCTGGTACAAGGGGCCGGTATATCATGAGCCAATCACATACGTTCAGTAAGGGGCCGGTATATCAAGAGCCAATCACATACGTTCAGTAAGGGGCCGGTATAACAAGAGCCAATCACATACGTTCATTGGTGCACAAGTCACATTTACAATTATTAAACATTTGAATTAACTTTCAAGACTTTTAGTGCTGTATTTCAATTTACATGATATTTTTTATATTGTGCCGTCTTGATTTTATTAAAATTTCTTATTCAATATTTAAAATTTCTGTTGCTAAAATTCACATTGATAATTTCACTTTTCGTTAAAAAAAAAAGGTTAAAAATTCGTTAGGGTTCCGCGGAACCTAGTGTCTGGCCTACTTTTGCTGTTAGTCGCAGGCTAAACAAAAATTGGGAAAAATTTAAAAAAAATTTTCCTTTAGATACTATCTTTTGATTGTAAGAAGCTTCTCTCTAAGTTTGGTAAAAATCCAGGATGGTTTATGAATCTAATAAATGTTTAAACAACTTTAACTGCAGACTGTAGTGTATGTAATGTTAACTGGAAGAAAAACTAATGTTTTTCTGAATTACAAGAAATCAAGAATGATTCCCGAGGGTTTCACCAGCCCAGTAGCCAGTCATTCTTGATTTCTTGTAATTTAAAAAAATACTAGTGAGGGGTCGAGTGGTCTAAGTAGCTTATCTGCAGCGATCACTGGCACTTGTTGAGTTCGAATCCCTCTCATCATTTTCATGGTAGGTGTGTTAGACTCCAATCTAAAGTGACTATGCTTGCCAGTTTTCCTATCGAAGGTATGTGGTTCTCTCCGGGGCACTCCTTTACCTCCACCAATAAATACTGATACAGCCAAGAGTGCTGAAAGTGGCGTTAAACACCACAGATCAAACAAAATAATGGCGTGAAATTTGATTGTCTCCCCCTTGAATCTTGTTTTATCAATATTGCAAAGCTTTGTCAGATTAGCAATTCATGAGGTTTCGCATACCTGCCAACCTCTGAAACCTTCAAAGAGGGAGATCTCCCTCTCAGCTATGACAGCTGAGGGGGAGATTTTGCGCGAACGACATTTTCAAGTGAAATATATGACGTTTTTATTTATTCATCTACGAAACACATATAAGAGTTAATAGATATACTTTGTTTCTTTAAATATGGTTATATCCTACAGAAGGTGTGTTGTTTGTTTCTTTCCTATTTCATAAACTTTGACATTGGATCCCTTCCGGACAATTTTCACCCCGGATACCTCTGTTATAAGAGAGCAATCATGTTGTTACAGGTGCATTTTGTGTGTGCACATATTTATTTCACTAAATTTGGTTCAATACATATCTTATAAATTTCAATATAAACATTGAATAGAAGTATAGATCTTTTAAAAGATTTTTTAAAATATATTTATTTTTTTTTTGTCTTAAGGCATACAAAATCTTTTAATTGCCATCCTTTTATGATTCTTTGTTTAATTTGTATTTAGTTTATATTGTTTTATCAATTCACATTATTTTAAGAAGGGTAACTTAAAACAGGATTAAACAGGGGAAGTAACCCGAAATTTCTTTGAAGTGTTTTGCATGAAGCAAAAGTCGTTAATGATCGTTAATTAGTACTATGTTTGACACCCAAGCTGTGAAGTGAAGCCATATAATTTCACATGGTCTGTGATTTACAGGTAAAAACAATCCTCATCAGTGAGACAAAAACGTAATTAATGTTGACTTGTCATTCAAGGTTAAAATATCCCAAAGCGGGAGATTCTATACACCCGCGCGGGAGGATACCGGCAAGCGGGAGATTTCCCGAATTTCGCCATTTGAGCGGGAGTCTCCCGCTCAAAACGGGATGGCAGGTATGGACTTTCTTGAATTGGAGAGACTAGTTTTTGGGTTTTTTTTTTCTCAAGAAAAGCTACTCGGTCTTTGATGATCCCCGATTCACGAGTTATCCCACGTACTATGTGCCTAAACTGAATTCAAAAGTGTTTATTTCTAAATGAAAGGTTCACGATTTGAATATTATCAAATTCGATTGTCACATCCTATATATCCTATATATAAGTAAAGATATCACTGAAACACACTTAACTGTATCTATAGTGTCTTTTATTTTAAGTTCACGTGAAATAAGCGGCTATCAATATCAGAGTTTTGCATGAGTGACTGGCATGAAAATACGTATTTTGTGTTATTAAAATTTGCTGTTACAAAATTTGTGAAATTATTTGAAGTGATGGAATCACGATATCTCACTCATGCAAAACTCTGATTCCTTGACAGACTTTGGCTATACCATTTGTCCTTTTTGGTTTATAATCTCTTCACTTTTCTAATAAGCTTTGGATCTTCAAATATTTTGGCCTCGATCATGACAGCAGCTAATACATCCTTTGCCTTTTCTGAATGTACTGATTAACCATTGAATCAGTCGACTTATTCTTAAAGATTCCATTTTATACAAAGCTGTATAATTTAGCTCACCTGGCTGTAGGGCTTGCTTACTGTTGGAAAAATGAATGTACCCCATAATTTACATGAAGCAATCCCTTTTCATGACTTTTCCAAAGTAAGGTAGCTCAAAATGACATCTATGTTCAAGCAGGATCTTACATTTAGTTCGACATTAACCCCTTCCTCCCCAATCATGCCTGTAGTCGTGACTGCAACCGCCATTCTTTGATAGCCCATATGAACCTCTATATACCTTTTTAGAACTGCCCGAGCTGAACTGGTTTGACTGCAGGAGTTCAATCTTGCAATTCATGGTCCATAAACTCTTTCCAGATATGTTATTATGAAAATAATGCATGCTTAGTTAGTTGAGGACCACACAGAGGTATTATATGGCTCAAAAATTCTGGTCTCTTAAAACTAGGTCACTGAAATCTGTAATCAAAGCACTGTAAGCGCTGTAGGCAGTTAACCAAAAACCAAGGCAAATGTAATTATGAAAACTGTGGCAGTTTTGCTTCAATTTTTTTTAAGATTTGAAAGAACAAACATTAAACATTCGTATATTGTACATTTATGTTCATTAAATGAATTGATTATTAAGGCAAATTAATTAATATTTCATCAAGGTTTTCAAAAGCAACTCATATATCAATGTAAATGACCCCCATCTTCACCCCCAAGTGCATGATGTTACTCCATACCAAGTTTGGAATAAAATGACAGGTGATTATAAAACAGTTGGTCAAACATTCTCGGGCTTTACACTGCTTAAAAGATTTTATATGTTTTCTTTAAAATGAGCCATAAATGAAAATTATTATAGGCCCAGAAATAATTTAATAAATAATTAAAGTAAATTCAATTAACCTAGACTCATTTTTTGCATCAATAAAATTTTATAATTAACAAGAAATAATTGTAACAGGATGCCGTTACGAAGTCTCCCAAACAAAGCCCCCATAATTCGTCATTCCCATGGTCTCCTGACATTGGACAAAGTCCAGTTCATATTGGTTTGGTCTAGTAAAGTGATATGCATATGTGACCCTGTATGTCATTCAAATCTTTTTGAAATGATGAACAGGAATAAATATGGTTTAGGTGTGGGTATCTCGACCGTTTACAAGTTCTCAAACAGGAGGCGGTGGGGTGACCCAAGGGACTCCCCCTATATTTCATTTGATTTGTTATATTGTCCCATACATGAAAACATATGGTTTAGGGGTGGGGATCTCGACTATTATCAAGTTCTCAAACGGGATGGGCTTGGGTGACCCCAGGGACTCCCCAAATATTTCATTTGATTTGTTATATTGTCCCATACATGAATATATATGGTTTAGGGGTGGGGATCTTGACTGTTTACAAGTTCTCAAACAAGAGGGGGTGGGGTGTCCCCATGGAATCCCCCTATATTTCATTTGATTTGTTTTATTGTCCCATACATGAATATATATGGTTTAGGGGTGGGGATCTCGACCATTTCCAAGGTCTCAAACAGGAGAGGGTGGGGTGACCCGAGGAACTCCCCATATATTTCATTTGATTTGTTATATTGTCCCATACATGAATATAAATTGGTTATGGGTGGGGATCTTGACTGTTTACAAGTTCTCAAACAGGAGGGGGTGGGGTGTCCCCAGGGACTCCCCCTATATTTCATTTGATTTGTTTTATTGTCCCATACATGAATGTATATGGTTTAGGGGTTGGGATCAACCATTTCCAAGTTCTCAAACAGGAGGGGTTGGAGTGACCCCATGGACTCCCCCTATATTTCATTTGATTTGTTTTATTGTCCCATACATGAATATATATGGTTTAGGGGTGGGGATCTCGACCATTTCCAAGGTCTCAAACAGGAGGGGGTGGGGTGACCCGAGGAACTCCCCATATATTTCATTTGATTTGTTATATTGTCCCATACATGAATATATATGGTTTAGGGTTGGGGATCTTGACTGTTTACAAGTTCTCAAACAGGAGGGGGTGGGGTGTCCCCAGGGACTCCCCCTATATTTCATTTGATTTGTTTTATTGTCCCATACATGAATATATATGGTTTAGGGGTGGGGATCTCGACCATTTCCAAGTTCTCAAACAGGAGGGGGTGGGACGACACCGGGGACTCCCCAAAATTATTTTCATTTGATTTCTTTTATTGTCCCATACAAGTATATATATTGTTTAGGGTGGGGATTGCGACGGTTTACAAGATAAAAAGTACATTTTCAAATTGAAGGGGGTTGGGGTGACCCCCAGGGACTCACCCTATATTTTGGTTGATTTTTTTTATTGTCCTGTTCTCATTACTGAAGACTGCATGTGTCTATAACTTACTGTTTTAGAGAAATAGTCATTTGAAATTTAAAAAAATAAAATCCCATAGGGTTCTATAGTAAACCCCTCCCTTCTTCAGGCCCCTCCAAGTACCCCTAAATAGACCCCAATGCACAAACAAAAGATTAATGGCTCCACTAGACATGTTAGTCTAATATTTTATGAAACCCTAAGTAAATCTGACAAACGGTCAAAGTTGTCACCTTAGACGGTTTGAGTGGATTCGGTCCGACTTGTCCACATTACTTAAAACATCCCATCAACATCGATTTCCGCATCTGTTTCATGACCTCGTTTCATTCATAAAATAACAACTACCTTATTTGGATAGATAAGTTAAAAATTACCGCCCACTTATATAACTTTATTTCCTCTATCATAGAGATTTGTTGTACATGAACAATATTCCTGCGCATTTTGCCATTTGGGAAATATAAACGACTTGTAATTACCGATTTTCGGCGATGAAATATTTCATACAATTGTTCTTTGACATCGTAGCCAAAAGCACAGGGGATAATAAACTACGTACGGATTTCTATTGAGCACTACTTCCTATGTGCATCTTCAAACGTTTTGGGTAGTTCGACGATCATTTAAGGTTTTTCTGGTCATATTTTTTGTATTCCAGACATAATAGTATTCAAAAAATGTCCAATTAGTTATAAATAGCATAATAGCCAGCTAGATAATAACAATGGCACGTATTTCAGCATTTATTGGGCAGAACACAAATCTAGGGTGCTCGCATAAGGCAGCTTAACTGCCTAAAAACAGACATTTACTTCCAGTCAACATGGGGTGGGGTGGTCTGATTTTCTATAATTCTCTTGGGGTTGAATCAGTTAAATAAACTCATCATAGATACCAGGATTAAAATTTTGTATGCCAGAGGTGCCTTTTGTCTTCAAAAAGACTCATCAGTGACGCTCAAATCAAAAAAGTTAATAAGGTCAAATAAAGTACGAAGTTGAAGAGCATTTAGGACTCAAAATTCCAATAGGTTTTGCCAAGTAAGCTAAGGTAATCATTCTTGGAGAAGAAAATCCGTAGTATTTCGAAAAAATTCAAAGTTTTGTAAACAGCTAATTTATAATTATGACCATATCCGTCATGGTTCTTTCTTTGGCTATACTACTATTGCGGGGCCTTGGCGGCCGAGTGGTCTAAGTAGTCGAACTACTGTATCACTAGCCAGTCAACACTGAGGTTGTGAGTTCAAATCCCGCACGGTGCAGGTGCACTCCGACTCCAATCTTAATTGACTAGGATTGTCAGTTTTCCTACTGGAGGTCAGTGGTTCTCTCTGGCTTCCTCCACCAATAAAAACTGACTGCCACGAAATAGCACAATAGTGTTGAAAGTGGAGTTAAACACCAATAAATCAATCAATCAATACTACTATTGCAGGACATGTATTCCCACGAGGAAGAAACAAGTGTGGCAAACCCCTTTATTAATAGGTAGTTAAAATTTTCATACCACTATCAGCATTAGCAATAGTCACCAGCCTCATCAACAACTTCACGTAATTGACCAATATCAAAACTGAAAGTAGACGTTGAATTTTCCATTTTTAATAATGCCTTAAGCCACCACAAGGCTGTTTACCAGGTGATGGCATCATACACCTTGAACCAGTTACAGGACTTTTAAAGACTTTGAACAAGTTCAGTAGTTACGGTAAAGATAGTCTTGGCATGGGAACCCAATATAACTTGGATCAAACATCTGCATAGCAGAAACCCTTTACAACATGTTCAGACCATAGTCTAACATCTTGCCAAGTTTCAAGTCAATCCTGAAAATAATGTACAATACCTATGGGAGGAGTTGTAATTAGAGGCAGTTTTAATCTGCACAGAAAGAGCTGACTGCCACATAGCTAATTTGGATCTACAAGGGGTATAAACACTTTTCAAACTTTTAAAAACTTTATATCTGCTGTGATTTCAATGCAACAAAGTCAAAAATACAATAACAGATGACTACATAGTAACATATTAGATCTAAAAACATTCTCCCTGTTTTTGTCATTTTGACTTTCATTTGGCTAATGTTCACCATTCTTGATATTTATTCCCTTTTTACAATAAAAGCAATATGTTCCTAATTCACTTTTCATCCAGAAAGGTTTTAAGGTCTACAAGAAGTTCAATATATTTTGACTGTTCATAGCCTGTACTGTAATCTGCCAAATCTCCAATGAATTTATCATCGATTCCTCGGTCGTGTAGCATGTCCATCAACATCTCATACATTGTCTGAAACATAAACAAATGGTCATTAACAAGGTATGTGTACAATTATATGATTAAGTCTTGTTTTCTTTAAAGCGTTAGACTCTTCTTCTACTTCCAGGAAAGATAACCAATAGGACTGAAATAGTGTACGATTCAGGATTTTTTTTTTATCTTTAAGGAGTAGGCTCCCCTTAAGTGTTATCAATCATTTGTTTGATCAACTTCCATGTCAATTTAAAAACTTTTAAGACTATAATTTGCTGCTTCCCCAAAAACATGCACTTATTTGGAGTAAAAGCTGAGGTTGGTGTACTATGTGATGGAATAATGTGTCCCAATGGTCTGATGATTTTTGGGCGAATCTTTAATAACCAACTAAAGAGTGTAGGTTTAGTACAAGGCATAATTTCTTTATATTACTTTAACATGTTACATTCCTATTTAAGTATGTATTATTTGCCACTGGATGATATCTAGTCACCAATCAATCTTTATAGTTACTTAAATGAATGAGAAAATAGACTTATCAACTACTGTGGATTAATTTTTTTTCGTTGATACCAATTTTCGTGGTTTGAGGGAAACTTGCATATTCGCGGATATTTAATTTCGTGATTTAGGCAAAGTCTGCATTCATTCATTTAGAAAATTTGTAATTCGTTGAACATTTAAATTCGTGGTTCCCCTGTACCCACTAAATCCATGAAAATTGGTATCCAACGAATATTAATGAATCCACAGTATCAAATTATAAAGTATTGAAAAAACTCAATTGGCTTAACTCATTCTAGATAGAAATAAAATTGAGAATGGAAATGAGGAATATGTCAACAACAAACCGACCAAAGACCAGACAACAGCCGAAGGCCACCAATGGGTCTTCAATGCAGCGAGAAAATCCCGCACCCGGAGGTGGTCCTCAGCTGGCCCCTAAATAAAATTGTGTGCTAGTTCAGTGAAAATGGACGTCACACTAAACTCCAAAACATATAAATGAACTAAAACTAAAAAACATACAAGACTAACAAAGGCCAGAGGCTCCTGACTAGGGACAGACACAAAAATGCGGGGGGGTTAAACATGTTTTGTGAGATCTCAACCCTCCCCCTATACCTCTAGTCAATGTAGAAAAGAGAAACACATAGCAATACGCACAGTAAAACTCAGTTTAAAAGAAGTCTGAGTCCAATGTCTGAATAGGTAACAAAAGAAACTAAACAAAATGACAATGATACATAAATGAACAAAGGACTACTAGCAGTTACTGACATGCCAGCTCCAGACCTCAATTAAACTGATTGAAAGATTATGTCTGCATCATATGAAAATCAAGTACAATCCCTCCGGTTAGGGGTTTTATATAGTATCATACCATCATAGAATATATGAGAAGAACATAACCCTTATCATGCTAACAACTGGTTTTAGAATAAATGTGTTTATTTCCGATGCAAAGACCCTATGAGTAAATCAATATTAATACCAAAATATGCAATCCTTAATGACTTGACAACAGTATTGTAACTATATCCTTTTTTTAAGTTTGGTTGAATTAGTCAGGTGCCTAGTGAATATTCAGTTTAGATTTCCCATTTTTAGTAATTTTCCTGACTTATTTCCCCTTTTTTTTCCCAGATCCCACATCCCCACCCAGACCTGCCAACTTTTGAAAATCTCCATGGGGGATTTAGTGTGCGACCAGATTTTTAAGGGTTACAATTTTAGCGGAGTTTCTGTGTGCACTGTTTTTTACTCTTCAAATAGTCTCATATCTCTTCTTTTTTCTTTTGGTATACTGATGATGAGCTAATAAGCCTTGATTTCTTTTATTTGCATGATTCTTGTACTTATTACTTGGCAAAATAACTTAATAGAGAAAAATGGCCTTAAAAAATAAAGGATACAAAGTGAAGACCCCCCCCCCCCCCTTTTCCCCCTCCAAAGACCTTCTTATCTTTGCACCATGATTCAAAAGACCTAAACCTAAATGTCCTAAAGTTAGAAGGATGAAGACAGATTTTGAGTAAGTCTATCAGTATTAATTAATGAGAAAATGGATAAAATTTGAGTTATCTTTCTTTGTGTTCAGAGGTGCTCTTACCCGCGGAGGTTTTTACACAGTAGAAGTGAATACGAAATGGGGTCGATTTTAACACGTCTGAATTCAAAAAATTTAACAGATTTCAAGATAAACGCTGTTTTCTAATGAGTTCATTACAGTTTTCGTCTTTCAGTTAATTAAGATTTTGTCATGAAACTACGGTAAACGTTGCAAATTGTGATCGTATGATAAATTGATTAAAATTGAAATGTTGACTGACCTGCTCACAAATTATTTAATTTTGAGGATTGTTATGACCCATCAGATTAACAGATTACATGTAACAAAAAATTATGACACCTGTTGTGACCGTTGATTAGTGTAGGGTCGTCAACTTGTTATAAATATGTTGCCAGGTAAAATTATAAATTTATAGAAATTGATCAAAAAAACTTCAAAATCGGTAACCAATAATTTTTGAGAAAATCAGGATTTTTACTTGTTTTAAGATTCCAGATATCGGGATTCGGGTTGATGCATGAAAATCGAAATGATACCGCCAAAATTGGGATAGTTGGCAGGTCTGCCTACCTTTTTGACCCCTAAAACTTGGTCTCTCCTGCATGATTAATTTATTTTTGGCTATATCTCCAATGACCTTCACAGTGACTTGTACTCTCGGATCTGTACTTATGTATCTTTTTTGTTTTGGGAATGTATACAAAAATACCATTTTTTTTTTTTGTGTAATGTTTTTCTGATTTATATCAATCTGATGAGTTAAGTCCTTTTCAACTGAATTTTATATGTTGTACTGTTACACCCCTGTCCCAAGTTTGAGCCAACAAACTAGTTTAACACGCCACATTCTGTATGTGCCTGTAATTCAGTGATTGTCATTTGTTGCTGTTTATCCCGTTTGTCCATTGTTTTTTTTTACATAAATCTGGCCGCTAGTTTTCTTGTTCGAAATGTTTTACATTTGTCAATTCAGGGTCCTTTACATCTGATTATGCGGTATGGGTTTTGCATATTATTGAAGGCCGTACAGCGACCTGTAGTTGTAAACTTTGCATTTGTCCTCTGGTGTAGAGTTGTCTCATTGGCAATAGTACCACATCTTCTTAGTTTTATAAAACCTAATAGTTGTGTCATTGGCAATCATACCATATGTCCTTATTTTCTAATTCTGCTAGAGTGATTAAAAACTTTTTATGTTACAAATTAAATCCAATGCTGTTAAGACTGCGTTACTTAATGTTTGAATGAAAGCTTACTTCATCCATAGTTTCTGCTACCACACTGTAAGAGTTGTCGTCTCCTTCTCCTTGTGGACCAGACATCGACACACTTGTTATACAAAACGCATCATCTGTAACACAAAAATAAACAAAAAAATGAAATTAAATAAGCTACAGTCACAACTGTGTTAAAAGGACCAGAAAATTTGACTTTGTAAGAGTGGTTACATATGAGTTGAGGTTCAAAACTAAATGGCATTGTTCATTGCCACTTTCACAAATTGATTAATCGTGTTGTTAATTTTTTTTTGATGGAGGCAGAAGTAGTGACTGGAGAGAACCACGATCTTCTGCAGGAAAACTGACAATCCTACTCAAGTATTATATTTATCCTGCAAATGACCTTTCTACTATACTAATACAGGTTTACAGATAACACGAAGCGATATACGTATCCTGCTTCTGTTGCGAGCTAACGGTTATGTCAAATTACTGTTTACATCACAGTTCAATTTTGGGTCCTCATTGTGGTCTGCATTTAAGTCATGTCGATTTCTTTAAAAAAACAAATTCAAAGATTGGGATGGAAAAACATGTACAAAATTAATTGCAGGATAAAGACAATAACTGTTTAGTGTCTTTAGACTGAAGCTTGCATTACCCCTGTTTCTTAGCCTCGTACAATTACAGCTGATATTTAAAGACACTAAACAGTTATTGTCTATATAAAGATTGGAGTTGGCCTCTGAGGCCTCAAGTTTAATAGAGGTTCCCTTTAAAGCAGGTGGACTTTTTTTGTGCTTTTCATAAATTGTTTTGTCATACATCAGGCATTTCTCTTTTGAAAAAATAAAACAATAAATGGGGAATGTGTCCATGGGACAGACCGAGACAGATGATGCCCCCTCTAGCATTTAACGTTAAAAAGGGTCATAACTCAAGAACTTAAAAGTGAGACGCTTCCCAAATTTGTACTTAATCTGAGTTTTGTGGTAATACGTATTGTGTATACGTTTCAACACATTTAGTTGAGGCAAATTTAAGTTAGAGAACGGAAGCGAAAAATTCAGCAATTTTTCCATTTGTAAAGGGGCATTTACTCTAGAACGGTAAATGTGACGCCACCAAATTCAAAATAGATTTGTGTTTTGTGGTAATGAGCATTGTGTATAAGTTTCATAACATTTGGTTGAGACAAACTATAGTTAGAGAACGGAAACGAAAAGTTCCAGCAATTTTTCAATTGTAAAGGGGGCATAACTCTAGAATGGTAAAAGTGACGCTACCAAAATTCGAACTTGACCTGTGTTTTGTGGTAATTAGCATTGCGTATAAGTATCATAACATTTGGTTGAGACAAACTATAGTTAGAGAACGGAAACGAAAAGTTCCAGCATTTTTTCAATTGTAAAGGGGGCATAACTCTAGAATGGTAAAAGTGACGCTACCAAAATTCGAACTTGACCTGTGTTTTGTGGTAATAAGCTTTGTGCAAAAGTTTCATAAAATTTGGTTGAGGCAAACTAAAGTTAGTGAACGAAAACCAATTTTGGGACGTACAAACATACGTACAGACGGACAAGGGTAAAACTTAATTCCCAGCCGCTATGGCGAGGGCATAAAAACACCAAACTAGAAGGAAAATTCAAACCAGAAAGTCCTCTATCAAATGGCAAAATTAAAAGCCCAAACACATCAAACAAATGGAATACAACTGTCATATTCCTGACTTGGTACAGGCATTTCCTGTAGAAAATGATGGATTAAACCTGGTTTTATAGCTAGTTAAACCTCTCTCTCGCTCTTGAATTGTTGTACATTTTGTCATGTCAGTCTTTTATAGCTGACTATGTTAAAAGTATGAGTTTTGCTTATAGCTAGTGATGTTTTAAAAGCAGTTATCAATCAATGATAGTTATTCTTGCTAAGATCAGCCATGAGACACAACCCTTTTAATTAAATCTTACCATTATCTTCTTGTTCATATTCTACTTCGTACTCTGGGTATGAACAGTCAAGGGACAGTATTTTTCCACTGGCTTTCTGGATTTCAACTGTGAATAATGGTTTTGCCATAACCTAGAAAATATAAAAAAGTTTTCAAAACAGACAGAGGTTGACAGATTCAAGAACAAATATATATTAATAAAATAAACTGCTTCGCTGAGCACAGATGGATATGCCCGCAGAGGTCCAACCCTGAACAGTTGGGGCAAAAATGGACACAATATTCAAGCTTGATACAGGTCTGAATTTGGATTGTAATTAAATATTTGACATATTATAGGTTTCTGAATAAATGTAGTCAAAGAACTTGAAATTGGTTATATGAATTGAATTCATATTCAATTAAAGATTTCTTGCTGTTGTGCAATACACTCTGCTGTTGCGCAAAACTTAGTAAATCTGTTGTCAGACTATAGACAAACAATAACTTCTCAATGTTATATCAGAAATTCATAAAAAACTAAAGGGAGGTTATCTTAATAGATATAAATCAGTCATCAAAGTTTAATGAAAACTGCTCTAAGCACTTTAAGGATATTGTCCAAAAACTTGAAAATCAACCCTTTTTTATGAATAAAATCTTATAACTCATAAACCAGTCAAGGGTCTAACTTAAATAAGTTATTAGAGAAAAATAACATACATGTCATTATTGTGGGCTAAAATATAAAAAAACTGTGATAACATATGTATGTAACATGTTTCAAAGAGGCAATATACTTCCTTTACTTTGTAAAACTGTATACAAGTTCTATAGGTATTATTATTGTCTTTATGTATACTAAACTTTAGAAAGATATAACAGTTCATAGTTTGCCAATCATATATAGTACACCTATGTTATCACAGAAAATATATGCCTGTAATAACTAAAGGGTGTTATTACAGCTTCTCTACATCTCTTTAAAGCCATTTCTCAGACATATATCACAATATATTTTAATTCATTGTAAGAAATAATGATCAGAGCATGCAATGAGGTTCTGCGCAAGATTCCAAGTAATTCCCAAGTGTCTCATTTTATAAGTTACATACCTGTAATAACTAAGTCTTGTTATTACAGCTTAGTTTATCCCTTAAAAGCCTGGTCTCATTGATTTACCATGGTTGATCAAAAATGTATTAATTGAATTGGAAAATTAATTATTAAGGTTATGTATCAAGTTTCTGCGCAAAGTTTCAAGAAATCCCAAGAGCCCACTAAAAATAAAAATATTTTTGATGTATTAACTAATAACATACATATGTTACTACAGATTAAGAAAAAAAGAGCAGACAACTCATGAAAGTATCTGTAATAACACATGTATGTTATTTTTCTCTAATAACTTATTTAAGTTAGACCCTTGACTGTAAACGTAAAATCTTAAATTTATAAAAATCAAAAAGGAGCTTACAACAATATATATAAACAATTTATCAAAGTTTCATAAAAAAAGCTGAAAGCATTTTTGAGTTATTGTCCAAAACTGGAAAATCCCCCTTCTTGTAATGAATAAAACCCCATAAATCAGAAACGTATAGTCTAAAATTTATAAAAATCAAAAGGGAGCTCATGTCGATAGAAATAAACAATTCACCAAAGTTTCTTGCAAACTGGTGAAATTGTTTTCGAGTTATTGGCCACAAACTGGAAAATCCCCCCTTTTTTAATGAATAAAACCCCAAAACTCGAAAAAACAGTAAATCCGAAATTTATAAAAAACGAAAGGGAGCTCACGTCAATAGATATAAACAATTCACCAAAGTTTCATGCATATTGGTTTAAGCGTTTTTGAGTTAATGTCCGACATGTTGACTACGGACGGATGGACAGACGGACGGACAGACGGTCAACGGTATACCATATTAGGTCCCGTAAACGGGTGTATAAAAATGAAGAAACTGCATTATGCAGTGCAACATCAAATTAGTTCTTAAAACAAAATTTAAGAATTTAAGACATTTGAAATTCTTAGAACATCTTAAACATGTTAAATATTGTCACTGTTTGTAAAAATAACACATTTCCCTTCATGATGTTTATTATGGTATCTTGGTATCAATTAATACAACTCTGAACTGATAATGATTACGCATGAACACAACATGAACTGTAAGACAACAACAGTTAAACTACCATTTCTTTTAACATACAGGACTATTATAACAATATAGTGTAGCAGAGTGATTTTTATGATCATTTTATATATTGTAAAAATCATCTTTTTAATTACTATATTTATGATTAAAGCGTACATATTTCGAATATTGAATCTGAGTTTAAATTATAATTTTTAAACCTTAATTTTATCTTTAGTAATATTCACTTTATTTTTCTATGAATATTCATTGGGAGTTACTTGAATCATTGTCTCTGATTGGTTGTTAATATTTCGCGGTCAAGTTTAATTTCCTTTGTTTTGTACCTAGTACATTTCCACGGGACGATAGCCATGACAGTCGATTGTATTTATGTCCTGATTATATTGACCACATAGTTACCTGTATACCTAATTATTTTGGACACAACATATTTATTGAATACCGGTACTGTAAGTTTACTTCTTTATTAACATGATTATTTATATTTTTCACTTAAATAATATTCTAGTAAAGTTACTATTTTCTTGTATTGTTCTCCTCATATCGCATGCATGTTACACTAGTAAGAAAGATGTACATGAGAGTATTTTTATTAAGCTACGAGTAGATGATTTTAAAATCTACGGTTTATTTGCCACGGTAGAATTATATTGTTAATTTGCGTACATTACTATTTGATTATTGTCAGGAATAGTCTATATTTTATAAATGGCGGCTGGTACAACAAAAGACGGAAAAGTGTTTCCATTTATATAAAGTAATAGTTTTGTATTGAATAGTTTTTATAAAGTACAAATATGAATGAGTAAAGAATATTTGTCACATTGTATATTTTTATAATTTTGAGTCCGAGTATTTATGTTCATATTTTGGTTTCAGGACTCCAATTGATTTACTTGTATAGAAACCATAATTGTATGATGTGCTGTTAACCTTACCAGTTAAACTCACTCCACAAGTGGTAAGAGTATATCTAATTATAGTTTGGCATTTTTTATAGCCGATCAACAATATTGTTTAGTAAACATGAGTTATCTTCTGTAGATTCAGAGCTTTTAACAAATCAATAATATTGACATCATTAGTCTTTATGATTACGATATTTGCAACTTTATGATTGTTGTATGATATTATGTATTTAATTATCATAAGTATTATGTATTTCAATGAACTCATTATTAATAAATGCAGTTATAGCATTTATTATATACCGTATGAAAAGTAAATCAGTAGTAAATACATAAAGTATACACAGCTACACATATTGATTATAGCTGACATTCAAAGTATAGTGTAATTTTAGGACAAACCAATTGTAAAAGTACACGTGACACCGATGTCAATTTCACAGACTGTAAACATTGAACATTTTTTACTTGCAATACATTTTACTTGCTAATTAGTTAATAACAGTTAAATGTATTATTTATTATTATATTTCTGTATTATATAAACTGTGATATTTCGTAAAAGTACATACTTATGTTATATGAAATAGCTAGTTATTTATATATGTTATATTGCTATTCAGAGTTGTTTTATCTACTGGTAATAAACATCAGAACCTTAGCTCTCGTTAGTTGTTATTCCTTAGCATAGGAAATCAGCTACTACATTAACATACAGGACTATTATAACAAGAAAGATAACTCAATTTTGTCTGAAATTTTGATAAAAGTTGGCACAAAAATAAACTGAACTTGGATAGAACAAGAAAGTCAAACAGATTTTTTTTTGTATTTGGCTTAATCATTTATCAAAATGTTGTTTGAAATAAGAGGCAGTATGCACTTATTTAAAAACTTGGTATAATGTTTTACCATGTCGGCATTATTGCTTTGATTTCCCTCTTCATATTCTCCTTTAGATTCTGGTGGTGACACATCAACCATATTGTTTATGTTAAAGTGAAGTCGTATTCTAAAATAAGAAGGAAAATTTATCATCATCATCTTAAAATAAATATACATCGCAGAGCCTGAGGGTATGATTTTACTGAAGTTTTATCCCTAGTTTTTATTGCAGGGGGAAGCCAGAGTGCCAAGACAGAACCATGACCTACCATGTGCTGGATTCACAATCTTAGTGATGACAGGCTAATGATTCAGTAGTTCTACTACTTAAACCACTTGGCAGTTGAGGCCCCTACAACCAAACTGTACCTAGTTCACTTTTCAATTGTCATTTTTTTTTAATTTCACAAAGTGCTCTTTTACTTGCTTTGTCTGAACTCGATTTTATCTAACTTTCATTTTAATACTTGTGTTATTTTTCAAATATTTTCATTACTGCTAAAATATTTATTGGATAGATTTCAGTAAAATAAAAACAAGACATCCACTGAAAAAGTTATGACTTTGCAAAAGCACATCACTGATAACTTCTCCTTAGACATTGTGACTTCACTGATGAGCTCTGCTAAAAGTTAGGATATGAGAACTACTTAGTGACTTACTGTTCATTTTCTATAGATTTAGACAATGTTACTTCAGCATCATCCTTCTGTACATCCCAATCTTTTACTGTATTTACTAAAGGAACTGTTCTTTCTTTTTCTTGTCTTATTTCCTCCTCCAAAAACTTTGAAAATTCAAGGTCTCCTTCAATTGAAAAATATGCTGTCTTAAACAATTCATAAAGTGCATATGAGTTAATATATCAAGACATTTACTTGGTTTTTCATTGAGAGTGATGAGAGTGCAGAGGGTTTTGACAGAATCAAGCCAATACAATCCCTAACGCAGATATAAGATTTATCTGTTTTTGTTTTTAATGATGTCGCATAGAGATTCAAAATAACCGAACAAAATAGGCAGAGACGTATACAAAAGGAGACAGATAGATGATAGTGTCAAGGAAATGAATATTCAAACATAAATAGTTACGTCGGATCATAAAAAAGTATCTAAGAAAAGAACTATATACATTGACAAGCTATGAACAGTGGATAAACAATTTCTTGGGGGGAATTAAGTGCTACCCGAACCTGTGTTGCATTCCAAACGTTTTGAAATAGGAAAAATCTGTAGCTCTGTGGTCTGCAAATTGTCAAAATTGAACATTGGTGGATAGTTGTCTCATTGGCAATCACACTACATCACATTATCTTTATAGAAACAAAATACAACAATAAATTAAATCATCAACCTTGTTCAACTTCTGCTTTACTATGAACTCCACAGGAACAGTTGGAACAGTGTTTTGTAGCTTTTCTCTGCAATAAATGTGATGAAATCTGCACATGTTGTCTTTGATGACAAGCTTCTCTCGTCCTAGCAACTAATGAACTGATTGATCTTGTATTGGCATCTGTTTGTGCAACGCCTAATATTTGACGTGATTTACAATTTTTCACAACCTGAGAGGAAATCAGAGATGACCTTCTGAATATTAAAGATGCCATTGGTTTGCTGTGAATTTGAACCGGAAAGCATGAATAAAACTATTCCTATGCGCATGTTCTTGAAATAATAACCAATAACCATACAAGACAAATCTACCACAACGGTCTAAATAAGAAACGGCAATTTAGTATAAATGTTCCTGAAACTATTCTAGTTTTAATAAAAGCTGAAGTTCGAAAAGCTATTATTAAAACTAGAATAGTTTCAGGAACATTTATACTAAATTCAAATAGAGCAAAATTTAATCAATCACCTTCTCCAATTTGTCAATTATGTAACTTTTTTGAGGAAAACATCTCTCATTTTCTCCTGGATTGTCCTCTGTTATCCAAAACTAGAAACACGTATTTTGAACCGATCAAGGTCTATGTTACTCAACATACAACAGAAGAAGTCTGGCACAGTGTCTTTCAATACAAACCAAACATTATCAGACTAATTATAGACTGCAGTCATTTCTCACAAATACTAACAAATAAAAATATAATGAACAAGATAGAAGCCAAAACTAGGGAGATGTGCTACAGACTATATATAAAACGCTTAAAGTTGCTTGAGGTAATGGATGGTTGACGGTCTGAAATAAACAGTTTTTAGTCCGTATAATTTGTGTTTTATTATTCATAAATGACAGCTGGATTTTATGTGTAAATAGAAGAGTTTTACTGTGTATATTATCCTTGGACATTGACTTTTAAAGTATATACATTATATTTTACCGTGTAAATATTACTTTTACTTGGATTTTATCCTTGGTGTTCCTTATAAAGGAAGCTAATACAGAGAGAAGAAGAAGAAGAAGGACAGTTGAAATAAACAAATAAAAAAAAACCCACCAAAATCCGGTAATAGTATATACTCAAAATCAATATATTATGTCCCAATCAATATAATGAACAGCTAAAACCACCATCTTTTGGTTAGTCTCAAGCGAATTATATCTTACATGTGTATTTCATATGACTATAGTTCTACATGCATGCAGGCCAGTTTTATCTATTTTTTTAGTAATATTATAATAAATAATGCATATGAAAATACGATGTTATGGAATTGATTACATTTCAGGGTAAACAATGTTTTGTATGTTTTAGATAAATATTACGTAGTACTACGCGCTTCTGGTCCTTGCAGTTCTTCCGAGGGCTTCTTTCAATACAGAGTCGGACTCTTCTTAAGTGTATAATTAATGACTTTTGCTCGTTTAATCATGATGCCTTTCCTCCTCCATTATCGAATCCAGCAGTAGCTATTTACAACATTTATTTACAAATTAAAACTATGTACATCTGGGATCTATCATGGAGTTCTAGATGTGTGAAGCTCCTATCAATGCCTCAGGCAGAATGGTAAGGCTGGCCTTGAACTCGCCTAGTGTAGCTGATGTTGTGGCTTTTTCCGGTAAAGTGTTCCATTCCCTAGTTGATCTTGGAAAGAAGGAGTATCTGTACTGGACTTTTAGAGTACGCTGTTGGTGCATGCGATGACCTGCTCTGGTCCGTGAATCTCCGGGTTTGTAATATTTAGTTTGGTCAATGCCTACCAATCTGTTTTGGATCTTATAGGCCATGATGAGGCGGTCTTTGGAGCTTCGATCTTTAAGTGACTCTCATCTAAGTCTCTCCATTATAGAGCTGACACAACCTGGGGATACGTCTTGGTATTCATTGTACACGAACCTAGCTGCCCTCCTCTGCACTTGTTCTAGATCTTTTTCTAGGTTGTTTTGGTAGGGGTCCCATACAGTGGAAGCATACTCAAGAGTTGGTCTAACCATGGTGATATAGGCATTGGCTTTTACTTCAGGTTTACACCGCCCTAGGTTCCTTCTCATGAAGCCGGCATAGTGTCCTTGATGACTTACCCACAGTCTGGTTGATATGCGTTTTCCACTGTAAGTCGTGATTAATGGTGATTCCAAGGTATTTCCAATGCTCAACTACATCTAAGGTGTGACCATGTAGTTGGTAGTTCTTAATAAGTGGAATTCTCTTGTTGGAAATCCGTACCACGATGCACTTCTTGGGAGGGAAATTCATCTGCCATCGTGACTCCCACTCTTGGAGTTTGTTTAGGTCGTCTTGTACATGTTGTAGTGTATGGCTGTCATTGTCATTGTTGTTCTTGATCTTCCTATAAACTACGCAGTAGTCTGCGAATAACCTTGCCTCAGAAGTTTTAGATTGTGGCAGGTCGTTTATGTAAGCCAGGAATAAAAGTGGTCCAATGACTGTCCCCTGTTGTACCCCTGAGATGACGTCTAGGGGGTCGGATTTATGCCCTTCAAGCAATACAGATTGGGTTCTCTTGCTTAGGAAATCTTATATCCACTGGAGGGTTAATCCTCGTACTCCGTAAATCCTTTGTGGGGCACTTTGTCAAACGCTTTGGAGAAATCTAGCAGGATGATGTCTGTCTGTTCTCCTTGGTCTAAGTTCTTGCCAATTTCATCTAGGGTTATCAGGAGTTGGGTTTCGCAAGATCTTTTTGCTCTGAACCCGTGTTGATGGTCACATAGGATCTTGTGATGGTCAAAGTGATCCATGATGGTGCTGTGAACAATATGTTCCAACATTTTACAGCAGATGGAAGTCAATGAGACTGGTCGGTAGTTGGAAGCTTTGTGTTTTTCACCTTTTTTGAAGACTGGTACAATGTTGGCAGCTCGCCAGTCGTTGGGGATGGTTCCTATGTCCAAAGATTTCTGGTAAAATATAGTCAGGTATGGTGATATATGTTCAGCTGCTTCTTTACGTATATTAGCTGGAATTTCATCAGGCCCAGTGGCTTTGAATGATCTTAATCCACGGAGAAGCTTATAAACTCCGGCCTGACTGTGATAATGTCCATAACTGGAAATGGACTTGGTCCCATATGTGGTATGTAATGTATGTCTTCTTTTGTTCGGTTGAACATTTAGACTTTTCGACTCACCGCACTACTGTTACATGCAAGGAACATTATTTCTCTAATTTTCATGCTTTTTCCATGTTTTCACATTTCTCGATCGGTGTGAGAAAAATGTTTCTCGTCTCTAGAGAAAACGATCGGCAAATGATTGGTCGAATTTAATTATGACGTCAAATTTTCTTGGTTTCTTATGAAATTCAATTTCCAATTTTGATGTCACGAAAAAAAGGCGACCATGCATAATGACGTCACATACAAAGAACACAACTTTCTGCAAATCTTTGAAAAGGAAGGATAAACGTTGTTTAGATATCGTATAAAAATCATCAAAGAAACAGAATCCACCACTATAACTCGTGTACTACGATATTTCTCCACTCTCAACAATCAAATTTTAATCATTTGAAAAGCTCGGCAAGCCTCGCGCTTTTAAATATTAAAATTTAACTGTCTCAAGTGGAGAAACATCGTAACACAATTGATGCAATGGTGGACTCTATGTGTCTCGGCTGATAAAACATAATTTGTATTGTTTACTCAAATATCATGAATATTTGTTAAGTGGTTCATTGAATATCTCATAAAAACAATATTTACTACAATCCATAAAAAGCTGTTTTTACTTAACTTTACAACGCAAAGAAATGCTACATTCTAATAATAAAAACAAGAGCTAAAAGTTCTATAGTTTAAACGGACATATTTTACAAGTTCAACATAACCCATAATTGGGCCTACAAACTTTAGAGGACCTAAAATGGACTACCCATATTACCAACGTAGCGAAAAAAGCAAACTCAACACTAGGCTTCCTGAGAAGGAATTTGAGATATTGCCCACCAGAATGCAAGACAACAGCATATATTTCACTGGTCAGGTCAACAATGGAGTATGGATTAATAGTATGGGACCCCTACACATCTACGAACATCAATTAGCTTGGAAAGACTACAGCGACAAGCTGCGAGATTTATAACGGGAGACTAAAAATCCAGATGGTTGCGTCTCAAATATTCATACCTGTCGATACAGACAACTCAAATGATCGTTTTGCCGTACTTTCTGATGCTGATAGAGACAAACTACTCAGCAACAAGAATTATTAAATTATAGAAAATTTTATTTTGTATCCATATACTGAAAAATTGCACTTAAATGAATGGCATGCAGTGACTTATAGTTATCACTATGACTGGTCTTCACTCTTTCCTATATAAATCGTACAATAACTCGAGTTTGCTTTGAACAATTTGAATTTATGAGAAAATGTACATAAACCTCTCCCTATGCCTGTTTAATATAGTTATTTGTCTAAAAAGAACAATTATTGCAAGAAATTTAACAATTACCAGACAATAAATAAAACAAGCACTATCTGATAGTATAACTAGACTCTTTTTACATGTATAATAAATTCGGTTGAATAGAAACAAGTCTGCTATTAAAGCATTCGTAAACTTGCATCGGCACTTAAAGTTAACCAGCGAGAGACGTTAACCACCGAGGGTCGGTTTTTAGACACGCCCAGTGCAACTATGCACGCCTACTTTTGGAGCTCTTTAGTATGAAGATAAGAAAAGTGTACAGAATTGAGGGACTGTCGACAATGTTTTATCATTGTTCTTGGTTTACAGACGTTACCCGTAAATAAACTGGACCCCTGTTGTGTTTATTTATCGCTGCACTGAGCCTCCTGCACTACGATGGAATGGCGGACCAGTTTAAACATGGTAAACAGATAAACAGCTGATTAAGTAACCTGTAAGAAGAAATGAGTTAACTATTGTTTATATTAGAGACGAGAATGTCTCGTGTTTTGTTCTGCTCAGAAAAGCCGGAACCTTGGAGTTTATGGTTAGATTGGGGTCTCACTAATTAGCGACAAGTAGCGTCATGAAGCGACAAGAAGCGACAAGAAACGTCAAGAAGCGACAAGAAGAATAAATTTAGCGACAAGAAGACTATTTAGCGACAAGAAAACTTAAAAAAAATATTATTAGAACAAATATATTAAAAAAATATGCATTGACAGCAATAAAGAGATTTCATTTTTTTTTTTTATTATATTGATAGATGAAGAAATTAATGAGTCAAGATAACATTTGGAGGTTTGCCTGTGATCTGAACAATTTCTTTCAAAGAATTAATATTGATGACAGCTTGCATATATCATCAGCAATATTTTGTTTGTTTAATAGGATAGGTACCTATGTATTCTGCTATTGCTTTATTCATGGTTTCAAGAGAATGAATGGCCAGGCATTTTTTTCGAACCAGCTGATTATTTTCTTGTAAGAATTACTTCTTTTCATAGAAGCATAATGACGCTTAAGGATGAACAAATTGGTTGGAGTAACGGACGTGTGTCCCTTATTGTATTGCTACAATAACATTCAATTAACACCTATAACTTTGTACACGCGTCAGACTATGACAACTACACGCGCCGGAATATACAATAATTGTAAATAGTGAGCAACTGTTGAACACTCAACATTGTCTATAACTACCTTTAATCTTCAATCAACTTTAAACTATGCATAAACATCATACATATCGTTTGATAAGTCAATACCCAAATAAAATATTCACGTTTTAGTAACATTATCTTTTCTGGACACTGATTCACGTATAATGCATTTTGCATGCAGTCAGTTTATTATATTTTAGACAAAGAGAGTGTTAAAAAATTTATAAAATGAATATATTATTGTTCTAAAACACAAGAACATGTAAAAATTAATAACATACTATGACAGGAAAATTTCTATATTTATCAATATCTATCAATATATTTAAAAAAAAAATGAAAATCACTTTACTTTCCGTATATTAAAATAAAAATGTCAATGCATATTTTTTTAATATATTTATTAAGTCTCCCAAACGAAGTTTGGGAAGACTTATCGTTTTTGCTCAGTTCTTATTATTATTCTTCTTCCTCTTCCTCTTCCTCTTCCTCTTCCTCTTCCGCCGCTTTTAAATTTGAACTTGTCCGCACCCGTTCTCCAAAACCGCTTGTCAGATTAACTTAGGGTTTCACAATATGTTAGACTAACATGTCTAGTGGTGCAATCAGGGTTTTGTTTGTGCAATAGGGTTTATAAAGGGGTACTTTGAGGGGCAAAAAGAAAAGAGGGTTTTACTATAGAACCCTATGGGATTTTATTTTTTTAAATTTTCAAATGATTATAAATTGAAAACCGTTTGTGATAGACACAATCTTTTTAATTGAAAATGTTCTAAATGATAAAACCTATTAAATGAAATACAGGGTTAGTCCCCAGGGGTCATCCCCACCCCCTGCCATTTAAGAAAGTTCTAAAACCTTGTAAGTGGTCAAGATTCCCACCCCTAAACCATATATATTCTGGTTTGTCATACCAAGATGGTTTGAATGATATACTAGTACAGGGTTAGTCCCCAGGGTCATCCGAACCTCCTGCCATTTGAGAAAGTTCTAATATCTTGTAAATGGTCGAGATCCCCACCCCTAAACCATATATATTCCTGTTCATCATGTCTCGAACATTTGAATGACGTATACGGTCAGTCCCCACTGGGTTCCCCCCACCCCTAATGTTCTAATATCTTGTAAATGGTCGAGATCCCCACCCCTAGACCATATATATTCCTGTTCGTCGTTTCTCGAACATTTCAATGATGTATAGGGTCAGTCCCCAGGGGTTCCCCCCACCCGCAATATTCTAGTATCTTGTAAATGGTCAAGATCCCCACCCCCTAAACCATATATATTCTTGTTTGTCATGCCAAGATGATTTGAATGATATACAGGGTTAGTCCCCAGGCATCACTAATGCATTAACTTTACTGGACCAAACCAATTTTCACTGGACTTTGTCCAATGTCAGGCGACACTGGGAATTATGAATCATGGGAGCTTCGTTTGGGAGACTTCGTAACAGCATCCTGTTACAATCATTTCTTGTTTTAATAATATTTTTATTAAGTTTTCTTGTCGCTAAATAGTTTTCTTGTCGCTAAATAGTCTTCTTGTCGCTAAATTTATTCTTCTTGTCGCTTCTTGTCGCTAATTAGTGAGACCGTTAGATTGTAATTCTTTCTTGCATCAAAACTGGGTAAATTTGATATAGGTAACAAACACTCCCCCTTTTTAAAAAATAACTCGAGAACCACACATCGGCCATCGCGCTCGCTGCACAAAGTAACAATAGTCAATAAGAAATAATTATTGTTACTTTCAAGAATCATTAATTGTCAAAACGTACACCCCCCGGACATCAAAGGAAGTTAAATGTATTGTTATCCCAAATTAGTTAAAATTATTATCATAATGACGTCTTGAAACCCTATTTTATGTGTTTTTTTTACTTTGAAGTATTCCTACTGCAGAAAAAAAAACATAACATAACCTTTTAAGAAGTCATAATTATTTGGACTACCCCTGAATCTATTGCAGACAGGCTCTGATCTAAAAAATGTTGTAAGAGCAATCTTTGAAATGATTTTTTAGGTACTTTAATTATTATGTAATTAATATTAACATAGTTATAAACTTTCAAATTTATTGACCAATATGACCAACTCCTATGCTCTTTCCCATAAATGTCACAATATCATTATATTACAGTAAAATCCGATAGTTTGATGACATTGTTTATGCCTATTGACCTCAGGTCAGCCTAAACTGTAATTTATTCATTAATAAAAACCTAAGACATTAACCACCTGCAATGTGATTGCATCAAAATGACACCTAAGGCATATCATACTAATTGTGCAGGATGTGCCACCAAAATAAATACTGTCTTGTAAAATTAGATGATGATAGTTATAGCTACATGTAGTAATTATAATAACTGATGATAGATTTAAATCTGTGTAAAAGGTTGATTTATATGTGCTCATTCATGTTTTAATTAAAATATAAATTGAATCTTTTCTTTTATGATATTAAGATATTAAAATCACAATTATTTATTTGTAAACTAAAAATATTTTTTGTCCTTTTAAGAACATGACTGTAAACAAACATTATTACACAAATAATTTTAATAATTCTGTCATGTTTTTTTTTTATGTAGCCCCAGAATGGTCAGAACAGTGGCAAAAGACTAATCCAGATTACCAAAAAATAGAAATTGTTCAGCTACCATTCATGCCATAAGCATGATAAGAAAAATTTTGCAGTTTCCAGAATTTGAGGTAGAGTATAGTCAGGAATAGTTTAAATATGCAGATGTTTAGTTTGCAATAAACAATTATGTCCTTGATAGAAAAGTAGAGGAAACAAAAGAGTATGAAAATAGTTGAAAAAAGTAATCAATAATACCTAGTCATAAATAATGTAAATAGAAAAGAGAAAGGCAATGGTTACGACTTGGTTTTATTAATAGCTTTATCATTTGTCCATAATTTGGAATGAATCTTGACATTTTCATGTCACAATTTGATCTAAATACATCCTCCTTTATAAAATAATATTATTTTCAGTCTACTGAAACAGGTATTATTTTTGTTATTAAAAAGAACAATGAAACAATCGTTGAACAATTTTACCTAGCCTGTAAAGCTGATAGCTTGTTGATTTATAAAATTGATTAACTCATGGGTTAACAGGTAGTAAAATTATATACTACAATCCTGGTACCTGATACAGCCTTCAAAATCTGAAGGTTAGTTTCAACCCAGTCCTGATAAATTTATCAATGAAAACTAATCAACAGACCAAATAAAAATTCACTGGGTAAAATGATAATATTTTAAGTAATAATACAATATTCATTCATACCATTTGTTGCGTAAAATAGTTTTGTTACTTATCATACATATATGATTTACTCCTAATACTCTAACAGTATTGTATGGTAACCACCGACGGTAAGTATGGACAAATACTGTATATAGAGTGTGTATAGGAGTACTGTATTGTATGGTAACCACCGACGGTAGGTATGGACAAATACTGTATAAAGACTGTGTATAGGAGTCTTGTATTGTATGGTAACCACCGACGGTAGGTATGGACAAATACTGTATAAAGACTGTGTATAGGAGTACTGTATTGTATGGTAACCACCGACGGTAGGTATGGACAAATACTGTATATAGACTGTGTATAGGAGTACTGTATTGTATGGTAACCAACGACGGTAGGTATGGATAAATACTGTATATAGACTGTGTATAGGAGAACTGTATTGTATGGTAACCATCGACAGTATGCATGGACAAATACTGTATATAGAATGTGTATAGTACTGTATTGTATGGTAACCACCGACGGTAGGTATGGACAAATACTATATATAGACTGTGTATAGAAGTATAGAAGGTATGGAGTACTGTATTGTATGGTAACCACCGACTGTAGGTATAGACAAATACTGTATAAAGACTGTGTATAGGAGTACTATATTGTATGGTAACCACCGACGGTAAGTATGGACAAATACTGTATATGGACTGTGTATAGTACTGTATTGTATGGTAACCACCGACGGTAAGTATGGACAAATACTGTATATAGACTGTGTAAAGGTGTACTGTATTGTATGGTAACCACCGACGGTAGGTATAGACAAATACTGTATATAGACTGAGTATAGGAGTACTATATTGTATGGTAACCAACGACGGTAGGTATGGACAAATACTGTATATATAGACTGTGTATAGGAGTACTGTATTGTATGGTAACCACCGGCGGTAAGTATGGACAAATACTGTATATAGACTGTGTATAGGAGTACTGTATGAATGTTAACCACCGACGGTAGTTATGGACAAATACTGTATATATAGACTTTGTAAAGGAGTCTTGTATTTTATGTTAACCACCGACGGTAGGTATAGACAAATACTGTATATCGACTTTGTATAGGAGTACTTTATTGTATGGTAACCACCGACGGTAGGTATAGACAAATACTGTGTGTAGAATTTATTTATTCAAATGAAAAGTGTTGCACATAAATTGTATTTCTGCAATGAAATTTTATGTAATCTCTACATTTCGTTTTTTTTCCCTTCAAATGGTGGAATGGTCCTATTTGTTCTTAAATGGCAAATAAAACTAACTGTTCTTGGCTTTTATGTTTGATATATTTTTGAATATTCTTCACGTGGAGATCTGATCTTGTCTATTGAATTTTGTCATTTTCCTTATTACATGTATGTTAATTGCAGCAACTGAATTGGACTTATTTATTAAAAGTGATAATATTTCTGTTGTAGGTAATCAAGATTTAGTGTTTCCATGCAAGTGTCAAAGATTGAACGACAAAACATCTAAAACTTTACAGGACAGAGTAGACTTTTTTCACTGTGCTTCATTTTGTCTTTATGTCTAAATAATGATACATTTTAAAAAACCAATAAAATATGGAATAAAAAAGATTGTTATCTTATAAAATGGAGTGAAGAAATAAGGGGTGATTGAAAACATAAGAATATATTGCTATCATATATGCAGATCAGCAGTACATGCATGTGCTATAGATGTACATAAATAAGGGGCCAATAAACTCAAGTTGCCTGTTAAAAACACAATTGATGCAATGGTGGACTCTATGTGTCTCTGCTGATAAAACATAATTTGTATTGTTTACTCAAATATCATGAATATTTGTTAAGTGGTTCATTGAATATCTCATAAAAACAATATTTACTACAATCCATAAAAAGCTGTTTTTACTTAACTTTACAACGCAAAGAAATGCTACATTCTAATAATAAAAACAAGAGCTAAAAGTTCTATAGTTTAAACGGACATATTTTACAAGTTCAACATAACCCATAATTGGGCCTACAAACTTCAGAGGACCTAAAATGGACTACCCATATTACCAACGTAGCGAAAAAAGCAAACTCAACACTAGGCTTCCTGAGAAGGAATTTGAGATATTGCCCACCAGAATGCAAGACAACAGCATATATTTCACTGGTCAGGTCAACAATGGAGTATGGATTAATAGTATGGGACCCCTACACATCTACGAACATCAATTAGCTTGGAAAGACTACAGCGACAAGCTGCGAGATTTATAACGGGAGACTAAAAATCCAGATGGTTGCGTCTCAAATATTCATACCTGTCGATACAGACAACTCAAATGATCGTTTTGCCATACTTTCCGATGCTGATAGAGACAAACTACTCAGCAACAAGAATTATTAAATTATAGAAAATTTTATTTTGTATCCATATACTGAAAAATTGCACTTAAATGAATGGCATGCAGTGACTTATAGTTATCACTATGACTGGTCTTCACTCTTTCCTATATAAATCGTACAATAACTCGAGTTTGCTTTGAACAATTTGAATTTATGAGAAAATGTACATAAACCTCTCCCTATGCCTGTTTAATATAGTTATTTGTCTAAAAAGAACAATTATTGCAAGAAATTTAACAATTACCAGACAATAAATAAAACAAGCACTATCTGATAGTATAACTAGACTCTTTTTACATGTATAATAAATTCGGTTGAATAGAAACAAGTCTGCTATTAAAGCATTCGTAAACTTGCATCGGCACTTAAAGTTAACCAGCGAGAGACGTTAACCACCGAGGGTCGGTTTTTAGACACGCCCAGTGCAACTATGCACGCCTACTTTTGGAGCTCTTTAGTATGAAGATAAGAAAAGTGTACAGAATTGAGGGACTGTCGACAATGTTTTATCATTGTTCTTGGTTTACAGACGTTACCCGTAAATAAACTGGACCCCTGTTGTGTTTATTTATCGCTGCACTGAGCCTCCTGCACTACGATGGAATGGCGGACCAGTTTAAACATGGTAAACAGATAAACAGCTGATTAAGTAACCTGCAAGAAGAAATGAGTTAACTATTGTTTATATTAGAGACGAGAATGTCTCGTGTTTTGTTCTGCTCAGAAAAGCAGGAACCTTGGAGTTTATCAACAGTGGTCAACAGCCTAATCATCTCCGATCAGGACAGTCAACGGATAGTACGTCCACGACTGGCACGTTCAATAAAACATTATTTGATTGGTCCGTGACCAACTCTATTCAATAAAGAAATTAATGATTTGCTACTATAAATACATTTAACATCGTGTTTATACGTCGAGTTATCTCGCCTACCACAATCTTGATAGTTCGCAATTATATTATATCTGTAAAAACAAATTATAGTTACTATCTAAAACAAATTATATATACGCAACGATCAAAACAATTGAGGGAAACATTTAATTATTTAATTGGGCGAGAAAAAAACCCAACAAAAACACAAAAAAAAAGACTGAATTGAATATAATTTAGTTTGATTACAGAAATTTTACTTGAACATTATTATATCAAAAAAATAGTCATGCTAGTAATTAACGTTTTAATAAAAGTTTCTATTTCATAGAAACTATCTTTCTATGTAAACCTAAATCAAACATGACATAAATGTGTCTTTATTTGCTTAAAATATCCAGGATTTTAAATATCAAAACGGTAGAACAGAGGCGGATTCTGGATTTTAGGTTGGAAAGGGGGGGGGGAGGCTGGTTGAAGTAACATTATCGAAATATTCTTCTTGAGTAGGTGCAATGTAGATATCTCGGCAAGCGAAGCGTGGCGAGAAATATTTTGTGGTTAAAGTAGCTAAAACCGCCTAAATCCACCCTGACAACAATCTACAATCACAATAATTAACAAGAAAACGAGATTGAACACGAAAAAAGTAGAATGGTATTACATTCATATTAGTCAATCGAATATATTTATTTTCTTGGGATCCCATGTAATACGGACGTAGTACGGGTTGGGGGCTTTGACCGTTTATGCATACTTCGGCAAAATTAGGATTTCAAGCAGGATAAGTAGTTTTATAAGATGAAAGCACCCTGCTACATCCACTCAAATCATGGTTCAAAAATCTATTCACAGGTTTCAAATCCTTAAGAACGGAATACAATGAATTATAAATCTGGTCTTGTCGAGTATTTATATGCTACACATCTGATGTATTCCTTCCTTGTAATTTCAGCTCTTTTATACTTGTTGTAATTGCCAACTGTTGACGACGTCCATCTTTTCTTTCTCTGGTTTGCGTACAGACGTGGGCATTTCAAAAGTTCTGTTGACATTAGTAACGGTCTGGATTTTCTTGATGACATCCATAAGACATATATGTTAGGGTGGTGCAAATAGATCTGTTCATTGTACTGAGAATGAAAAGAATCTGGACCGTTATTCGTCCACTTACAGTTTTCAACGAGCGCAGCTGCCCAGAAATAAGGTGGATAACGCGAAGTTGAGCATATATATAAGTACTTAATACGTAGTCTAAGAATGCATGACATTTATCACTAGAAGGAGCGTCAGACATAATGTCAAACGTGAAGCAGTCCTCGATTTCATCTGGGGGAAGGGATGGTAGCCCGAAAATTTACAATAGCCATTTATCAGGGTCACTTGATTTGTCTTTATACTCTGTGCTTGGCCAAACAGACTGGATTTTATTCCTTATGTTTTGAGCAAGATCAAACCGAAAACAATCTATTTGGAGGGGACAACATTTATATACATGTTATAACTGACAATTCACAACATATATATATGTACAACTGGCTAACGGAAAAGGTTTAGAATGATGAATAAAAAATAACATTCACATGAAATTTACCTGTACACAATCGGTACAAATGAAAAGAAAAAAAATTGCGCAAATGAAAGATCGATTTTTTTAAAAATCGGCGCAAATGTCATACGCCCATAGTCACCCCGTATAACCCCGATACAAATGAATCCGAACGTTGATGCGTTTGAAGCGATAATCAGGACAACAATTGGGATGACAACAATTTCGAATGCCTTTCTAGAACTTATGTGGGGATCTCTCAATGTGTCTATGTACATGGTAGTTTATCTAATCAATTATACAGTTGTTGCATGTTTCAGATTGTGTATAGAACGTTTGATGAAACTGCTAGACGCAAAACGCAAAGACATGGTGCAATTTTGTACGCTTTATGAGGAAAATAATGTTGAATATCTTTTCTTACATAAACTTTTGCGTAGCAATACTATAAGCAATAATAAATAACTGCAAGTTAAATTACTAGGTGCATTCAAATGTTGCATTTACACATAGAATAAACACGATATCATACTAAATAAGTTTCCTCTTACTGTACCGTTCGTTTCAACGAGTGTGTCATGTTCGTTGCTCTTTTACAAATAATCAATGTACAATTCGTTGACAAAAACCGTCACAAATCCCTTTCTTTTTAAGGTATTCGAGATGGCATCAGCGACCCTTTTTCTGTGTTTTATTGTAAATTTTATTTGTAAACTTTGTCGAAATAGTAGACAATAATATTATCAGTCTTTCAAGGCCAACATTGAAAAGCGCACATCTGATGGCAATTTTTCAAATGAAGAACTAGCCTGAATTTCAATGTTATTCCAGATGAAAAAAAAGTTTCAAGAAATATATAATAGCCAATAAAAGTTCTATAACTCTTACTTTTCACAATTTGAGGCCCTTTCAAATGCAGATTTTGGTCAAAGTTAGCTAAAAAACGAAAGCAGCCATAGGATCTCGATGAATATTGTATGTCGAATGAATTAGATCACATTCCAACTGTTTGCTTTATATATATATATATATGTATAAATGTAGATGTGGTGTGATGGCCAATGAGAAAACTATCCACCAAAGTTAAAATGAAGTGGATGTAAGCAATCATAGTCCATCATACGGCATTCAACAATGAGAAACCCTATATCGTATAGTCGGCTATAAAAGGCCCCGATATAAAAAAAAAGTGAAACAATAAAAATGAGAAAACTAACGGCCTAATGTATAACTAAACAATTTAGGAGAGGTAAATAAATAATGCGGCGGGGTTATACATGTGAACTCTCAACCCTCACCATAACCTGGGACACTGGTGTAACTTCACAACATGATAAAAATCAAAGCGCGAAAGCGCTGTAAAGGCAGTTAATTACAGGTTGTGTGTATTTTTAGTCCAGTTATATCATTATCTTGCATAGTACAGTGTACTTATCAAAGGTGGCTTTCAGTATTTAAGATTTAGAGTTCTCTAATGATATTGAACAAGTTTTATGAATGTCATATTCTGAGCACTATATGAAGGCGTTTGTTCTCACTTGTTTATGAACTTGTGCATTATATCCAGTTTGTACCTTTTTTATCTATGTTTATAGTCAAATTAGTTATCAAAGGTACCAGGATTATAATTTAATAAGCCAGACTCGCGTTTCGTCTACATAAGACTCATCAGTGACGCTCAGATCAAAATAGTTATAAAGCCAAACAAGTACAAAGTTGAAGAGCATTGAGGACCCAAAATTCCAAAAAATTGTGCCAAATACGGCTAAGGTAATTTATTCCTTGGATAAGAAAATCCTTAGTTTTTCGAAAAATTCAAAGTTTTGTAACAGGAAGTTTATAAAAATGACCATATAATTGATATTCAAATACTGTTTAAAATAGTTAGGCATTTTCTTTTTAGAAATAAGTAAATGTTATCAACTGTATTTTATTCAACTCTGCAAATGTGGTTTGTTACTGGTAAGTATGGATGATATTTGTTTCATTGGCAATCATAACACATCTCCTTATTTATATAATGATCTATATTCAACGACCTCAGGTACAAAAAAAAATGTATGTAACTAAACTGTGATGGGAAACCTTTGACTTCTTTCTTTTATATAAACTTTTGATTTGGTACCATAGAACTATGTAGAATAAATGTACATTGCAACATGTCAACTCTTTCAATGACAATACCTTTTTAGAAACTATAACTCCAAGCAAAATTATATTTCCAAGTTTAAAGTAATTTATGAATGAAAAAAGGAGTTCTTAATTAAGAAATAAACTGATTCGCTGAGCGCAGCTGGATATACCGCAGAGGTCCAACCCTGAACAGTTGGGGCAAAAATGGACACAATATTCAAGCTTGATACAGGTCTGTATTTGGATTGTAATTAAATATTTTACATATTATAGTTTCTGAATAAATGTAGTCAAAGAACTTGAAATCGGTTATATGAATTGAATTTATATTCAATTAAAGATTTCTTGCTGTTGTGCAATAAACTGTGCTGTTGCGCAATACTTAATAAATCTGTTGCCAGACTATAAAGAATAAAGTTCAATTTCTTCTCAATGTCATATTTGAAATTTATGAAAATCTATAGGGAGATTACATCAATAGCTATAAATAATTCACCCAAGTTTCATGCGAACTGCTTAAAGCATTTTTGAGTTGTTGTCCAACAACAGTGCACACGCTGAAATGTCTCGCCTTCTTTACTAATCACTGATATTATGTTGATAGTCCTTAATATAAAGCTTTATTACAACTGTCACATAAACTTAACATTAACCAAGAAAACTAAACATTGACCAATGAACCATGAAAATGAGGTCAAGGTCAGATGAACCATGCCAGGCAGGCATGTACAGCTAACAATTCTTCCATACAACAAATATAGTTGACCTATTGCTTATAGTTTAAGAATAAAATGCTCCGCAGGGCGCAGCTTGATACGACCGCAGAGGTCGAACCCTGAACAGTTGGGACAAGTATGGACACAACATTCAAGCTTGATACAGCTCTGAATTTGGATTGTGATTAAATATTTGACAGAGCATAGGTTTCTGACACAGAATGAATGTGGTCTAAGAACTTGAAAATTTTAAATTGGACATTCACCTATTATGGTCCAATATCCAAAATCTAAATACATGGTTAGATTCAGCATATCAAAGAACCCCAAGAATTCAATTTTTGATGAAATCA